ACTCAGGACCGGCTGGAGAGGGCCGTGCAGGTGGACCAGGTAACTCACATCCTTTACTGAAGTAGAAGTACAGATACTCGTGTTTAAAAATACTCTGGTGAAAGTAGAAGTACTGACTAAACTTCTTTACTCAAGTCAAAGTAAAGAGGGCTTTGAAATGTACTTCAGTAAAAAGTACCCATAACTAGCAGCTGTTTTAAAGAGTACCTGACCTCCCTTTATATTAATAGAACAATAATGTCATTGTTAGCTAATGAATGTTTCCATGCTGAACAACGGCAACATGACAACGTTTTCATTGGTCCCTCTTCTTTAGAGAAGACCAGGAAATGATGGATACACGGATCGTGTTCAAATCAATAGGCACGCAATGACTCTAAATAATAATGATCACGCCACCAAACACACATTCAAACTAAAGGAACCAGCCTGTTTGGGAAATGTGAGAAGTAGAAAGTACAGGTATTTGGGTTCAACATGTAAGAAGTAGAAAGTACAGGTATTTGGGTTCAACATGTAAGAAGTAGAAAGTACAGGTATTTGTGTTCAACATGTAAGAAGTAGAAAGTACAGGTATTTGTGTTCAACATGTGAGAAGTAGAAAGTACAGGTATTTGTGTTCAACATGTGAGAAGTAGAAAGTACAGGTATTTGAGTTCAACATGTAAGAAGTAGAAAGTACAGGTATTTGGGTTCAACATGTAAGAAGTAGAAAGTACAGGTATTTGAGTTCAACATGTAAGAAGTAGAAAGTACAGGTATTTGTGTTCAACATGTAAGAAGTAGAAAGTACAGGTATTTGTGTTCAACATGTAAGAAGTAGAAAGTACAGGTATTTGTGTTCAACATGTGAGAAGTAGAAAGTACAGGTATTTGAGTTCAACATGTAAGAAGTAGAAAGTACAGGTATTTGGGTTCAACATGTAAGAAGTAGAAAGTACAGGTATTTGAGTTCAACATGTAAGAAGTAGAAAGTACAGGTATTTGGGTTCAACATGTAAGAAGTAGAAAGTACAGGTATTTGAGTTCAACATGTAAGAAGTAGAAAGTACAGGTATTTGTGTTCAACATGTAAGAAGTAGAAAGTACAGGTATTTGTGTTCAACATGTAAGAAGTAGAAAGTACAGGTATTTGGGTTCAACATGTAAGAAGTAGAAAGTACAGGTATTTGAGTTCAACATGTAAGAAGTAGAAAGTACAGGTATTTGAGTTCAACATGTAAGAAGTAGAAAGTACAGGTATTTGTGTTCAAAATGTAAGAAGTCAAAGTAATCAGAAAAATAAGTAGTGGAGTACTGATACCAGAAAAATGTACATAAGTACAGTAACGAAGTATTTGTACTCCAATACTTCCCACCTCTGTGTTGTGATGCTTTAATATGATCTCCTTCAGAGGATAATGATGTGCCCCCCCCCCTCTCAGCTCCAGCCCCTGCAGTCTGGATGTGTTCCCGTTAAACACAGCTCCTCCGCTGTCGATCTGGTGGCTTTAATCCAGCCGATCTGCCAGCTGTGGGAGAAACTGTCCTGGCCCGACCCCGAGGAGGCCTTCATGCTCATGGTCAAAATCACTGAGGTACTACCCTAACCCTAACGGCCCGTCCATACGGCAGCGTGCGTTGCTTCAACGGAGACGCTTCCCATTCACTCTGAATGAGGTGGCGTCACGCTTTGCCGAACTGCATTGTGGTTCCGTCGCGTTGCTTTGCCTCCGTTGCTCGCTTCGAAAGTTGAGAAAAGTTCAACTTCTCAAGCTTCGACGGAAGCGTCAGCCAATCAAATCATATGCCAGTACAAGCTCTAGCCAATCAAACCGCGTGCTTGTGTGTCCGGGGCGGGAGATTAATGTGATTGGTTGTTGGTCGCGCTCCAGAGACGCCCACCGGCAAGCTTCAACGTGACGCTGCCGTGTGGACGTACCGTAACTGAAGAATATGAACTGCTACCATTGTTTATCCGTTACTGTCAAAAATGTATCACTGTACATACAACGTTTAGCTAACGCCAATTATTTAAACTCTTTATCCATAAGGCTAGTTTAGCTGCTTACTCTTGGCTAAAGCTAATAATTTTCATTGTTTATTGGTTACTTAAAGTGGACCTATCATGCTATATTGTAATAATATAGTGTAGGACCATACCTATATAAGGCATATTTATACTTTCTTTTTCTTCAAAATACCAAACAGATCATGCATTTTAGCCATGCCTCATTTCGCTCAATTTGCACTTGTTTTTGCAAGGGCAGATTCTGTGAGAACAGCACCACCTACAGGCCTGGCATATGTACTACAGCGTCTCCAGCGCTTTCGAACGGCAATGGCCGTGGCTGTCTCCTCCTGATTGGTGGAGTTGGCCCAATAGCCGTAGCGCCACCGTCCTGACGTCAGGACAGTGTTCAAATCTGGATCAGTTTTTATCAGATCCGTTGCAGCCCCTTTTTTAGAGATTTGGGTATGGAGGAAAATAGAGAGGGTTGTGTTTTCTGACACTTGGTGAGTTCCCTGGAACACCGGGGACACATATTCATGTAGAAAAGACGTACACAAGTGCATTTTGCATGATAGGTCCCCTTTAAGCTTATTATTTTTCCCCTTTTCCCCTTACCTCATACTGTCATATGTAAATCTACAACGCGGTCTCACAGCATTTCGTGTTATAGTCACAAAATTAATCTATTGATTCGTGTTCACCAACACGATTTTCCCATTTTTTTCGTGTCACACAGAACGATTTTAAAAGCAATGTAAATAATAACAAATTAGAAGGAAAAAGAGACTAAAAGAAATACAGATGTCAGTATTCTGAGGCTCTGAGCCATTTATTTTCCTCGCAGACGGCAAAAAAACTCCGACATTATACAATTTTAAATAAAAGGGATAGGGTTAGGCTTAGGGTAAGAAATTGAGTAAGAATATGTTTTTATGAACCACACAGCTTCTGGTCTTCCAAGACCCGACCGGACAAAAAGACGTGGTGCAGGCACGAAACATACTACCAATAGAAATACATTGCTTTTAAAATCGTTCTGTGTGACACGAATCAATAGATTAAATTAATTTCGTGACTATAACACGAAATGGCGTGAGACTGGGTTGAAATCTATTAGGTTAATTTTGGCCTAAACTAATTATTTAACCTGTTTACTTATAGCAGATTTCAACACTAATTTCAGTTATGTAGGTTTTTATTTGTTGATATCACTGACATTAACACAATCATCTTTTATATTGCAAGTTTTCTGAAGTGTTACAGGAATGCAAACGAGGCGTATCTAATGCTAACGCTTGGCTCTGTTTGTCCACTAGTCTGACAGGAGAGAAGTTATGGAAGATAATACATGTTTGTTTGTGTGTTTTCAGGATGTGTGTAAGATCGTGGTGAATTACTGTAACTTACTGAAGGAGAGAGTCAGGGAGCTGTCGGAGAACTCGGACCACGGCAGCGCCATCAACATGGTGAGGAGACAGGTTAGCGTTAGCTTTAGCAGGGAGGCTGTAGCTGAAGATTTAGGAAACAAATTCCACCATTTTACCAAAAGATTATCCACTGTTTTTCCATACTACATTCAAGCAACACTTAATAATTCAACTGCTCATCCATTTGGCAAATTGAAGCTAACAATTTCAGCCGTTTACTTTGAGCAACGGTTAATTATTTCGACTGTTATCCGTTTCTTTTAGAAATTTTATTTCCACTTCTTACTTTGAGCTAATGCTTATCAATTCACCTTTTTATCCATTAGTCTACTTTCTATTCAACATTAATTATGTAACTGTAACTTATACACATTCAATAATAACTCCATTGGGCTAATACTATCAGCTTTCTATATCCAGTGTGTTTTTATCCTAATTAAACTGTCAAGCTATGAGGGCCTAATAGCTTGACAGTTAATAATTAGGCTACTTTAAGTCAACGCTAGTAATTTCACCAGTTTATTGTTTACTTTTAGCACATTTTTTCATGGTTTATCCATTTCTTTCAGCTAATTATGATCTATTTTTCACTATTTATAAGTTGCTTTTAGCTCATTTCTCCACTGTTTACCCCTTATGTCGAGCTAACGCTAACTTTAAAAGCTTTAATAATTAATTGGGCTTTCTTCACTATTTGAGCTACTTACTTTAAGCTAATGCTAATCATTTTAACCTTTCCCAACTTTTATCTAATTATATTTAGTGTCATTTAAACTAATTCACCTTTGAAGCCAAAATATACTTTTGTCTAATGCTAATGATCTCCTGTTTATCCGATACTTTTACCTAACGTTTATTTAAATGCTAATAACATCCTCCTCCCAGTTGTGTGTGGTGGTGAACGACCTGGAGCACCTGCGCTCGGTTCTGACCCGTCTTCCCACGCAGCTGAACTGGGCCGGGCTTCGGGATCGAACCCAGAATGTGATCGGAGAGAACCAGTTTCACAACACGCTGCCCGCCCAGCTGCAGCAAGCCAAGAGCGTGCTGGAGCGAGAGATACGGTCCGCTTTAGACACTCTGGGGAAGCAGGTGAAGCATCGGGAACATCCTTACATCTACAACAACTGTTTTGTAATATGTGCAATATATACATACAGAGATGGCAAAAGTACACACATCCTTTACTCAAGTAGAAGTACAGATACTCGTGTTTAAAAGTACTCTGGTGAAAGTAGAAGTACTGACTAAACTTCTTTACTCAAGTCAAAGTAAAGAGGGCTTTGAAATGTACTTCAGTAAAAAGAACCCATAACTAGCAGCTGTTTTAAAGAGTACCTGACCTCCCTTTATATTAATAGAACAATAATGTCATTGTTAGCTAATGAATGTTTCCATGCTGAACAACGGCAACATGACAACGTTTTCATTGGTCCCTCTTCTTTAGAGAAGACCAGGAAATGATGGATACACGGATCGTGTTCAAATCAATAGGCACGCAATGACTCTAAATAATAATGATCACGCCACCAAACACACATTCAAACTAAAGGAACCAGCCTGTTTGGAAAATGTGAGAAGTAGAAAGTACAGGTATTTGAGTTCAACATGTAAGAAGTAGAAAGTACAGGTATTTGTGTTCAACATGTAAGAAGTAGAAAGTACAGGTATTTGGGTTCAACATGTAAGAAGTAGAAAGTACAGGTATTTGTGTTCAACATGTGAGAAGTAGAAAGTACAGGTATTTGGGTTCAACATGTAAGAAGTAGAAAGTACAGGTATTTGTGTTCAACATGTGAGAAGTAGAAAGTACAGGTATTTGTGTTCAACATGTGAGAAGTAGAAAGTACAGGTATTTGGGTTCAACATGTAAGAAGTAGAAAGTACAGGTATTTGGGTTCAACATGTAAGAAGTAGAAAGTACAGGTATTTGTGTTCAACATGTAAGAAGTAGAAAGTACAGGTATTTGTATTCAAAATGTAAGAAGTCAAAGTAAAAACTCGTCAGAAAAATAAGTAGTGGAGTAAAGTACTGATACCAGAAACATGTACTTAAGTACAGTAACAAAGTATTTGTACTCCACTACTTCCCACCTCTATATATATATATATATATATCTGTGGCTCTTTTCTGCTGTAACAATGTACATGTCCCGTCTGTGGGAAGAACAAAGGTATTCTGATTCTGATTCTGAAAACGTAGGGACGCTTTTAATTAACACCACCTCTCCATCTGCTTCTCCAGTTAAACACAGATATTGAGACGCATGTCCGAAACATGTCCACCAGGAAGAGGATTCCCTCCAAGTCCACGGAGGACGTAGGTGACTTTAACGTTATAACAAATACACAGATGTCTTTTAAGTTCGTCTGATATCAAACCCTTTCCTTTCTTCAGGCTGCAGACCCTCTGATGCGCTACCTGGAGCAGGAGCTGCATTATATGAATGAAAACCTGGTTCAAGAGAACTTCAACAGGTAGGCCGTTAGCTCGGATGCTAACATGCTGATTTTATCCAGTGTTTTACTCTGCATCCGCTCAGGAAAATGTGTTGTCTTTAAATGCACTAAACAATTACTGGTTTTGCTCTTAATTCAGAAAAAGACAATATTTCAACTAAGCTTTTTACATGTCTTATGACAATTAGTATTGCTGTTTATAAGCAGCTTCAAAATGTGATGATCTTACCAGAAGTGAACACCTTTTCAGACCTTTCCAACTCGGCATCCCTCCTCCATTTATTGGCTTCTTGAAATGGTCGGCGTTGCAATATTTGCACGTTTCCAAAAAACCTTTTCATATCCAGTCATAATGCTAAAGAATTGGGTATTTAAAGGGAAAGGCATAATGTTTATTATCGGGGCAAGATAGGTTGTAGAAACTGTGGGGGAAACTTCTGAAGCAATAGGAGTCAGGACTCAGAGAGACACCAGGAGAGCTGGAGCTTTGATGGAGTCAGGACTCAGAGAGACACGAGGAGAGCTGGAGCTTTGATGGAGTCAGGACTCAGAGAGACACGAGGAGAGCTGGAGCTTTGATGGAGTCAGGACTCAGAGAGACACGAGGAGAGCTGGAGCTTTGATGGAGTCAGGACTCAGAGAGACACGAGGAGAGCTGGAGCTTTGATGGAGTCAGGACTCAGAGAGACACCAGGAGAGCTGGAGCTTTGATGGAGTCAGGACTCAGAGAGAGACACGAGGAGAGCTGGAGCTTTGATGGAGTCAGGACTCAGAGAGACACGAGGAGAGCTGGAGCTTTGATGGAGTCAGGACTCAGAGAGACACAAGGAGAGCTGGAGCTTTGATGGAGTCAGGACTCAGAGAGACACAAGGAGAGCTGGAGCTTTGATGGAGTCAGGACTCAGAGAGACACAAGGAGAGCTGGAGCTTTGATGGAGTCAGGACTCAGAGAGACGCGAGGAGAGCTGGAGCTTTGATGGAGTCAGGACTCAGGGAGACACGAGGAGAGCTGGAGCTTTGATGGAGTCAGGACTCAGAGAGACATGAGGAGAGCTGGAGCTTTGATGGAGTCAGGACTCAGAGAGACACGAGGAGAGCTGGAGCTTTGATGGAGTCAGGACTCAGAGAGACACGAGGAGAGCTGGAGCTTTGATGGAGTCAGGACTCAGAGAGAGACACGAGGAGAGCTGGAGCTTTGATGGAGTCAGGACTCAGAGAGAGACGAGGAGAGCTGGAGCTTTGATGGAGTCAGGACTCAGAGAGACACGAGGAGAGCTGGAGCTTTGATGGAGTCAGGACTCAGAGAGACACGAGGAGAGCTGGAGCTTTGATGGAGTCAGGACTCAGAGAGACACCAGGAGAGCTGGAGCTTTGATGGAGTCAGGACTCAGAGAGACACGAGGAGAGCTGGAGCTTTGATGGAGTCAGGACTCAGAGAGAGACGAGGAGAGCTGGAGCTTTGATGGCGTCAGGACTCAGAGAGACACAAGGAGAGCTGGAGCTTTGATGGAGTCAGGACTCAGAGAGACACGAGGAGAGCTGGAGCTTTGATGGAGTCAGGACTCAGAGAGAGACGAGGAGAGCTGGAGCTTTGATGGAGTCAGGACTCAGAGAGACACGAGGAGAGCTGGAGCTTTGATGGAGTCAGGACTCAGAGAGACACGAGGAGAGCTGGAGCTTTGATGGAGTCAGGACTCAGAGAGAGACGAGGAGAGCTGGAGCTTTGATGGAGTCAGGACTCAGAGAGACACGAGGAGAGCTGGAGCTTTGATGGAGTCAGGACTCAGAGAGACACGAGGAGAGCTGGAGCTTTGATGGAGTCAGGACTCAGAGAGAGACGAGGAGAGCTGGAGCTTTGATGGAGTCAGGACTCAGAGAGAGACGAGGAGAGCTGGAGCTTTGATGGCGTCAGGACTCAGAGAGACACGAGGAGAGCTGGAGCTTTGATGGAGTCAGGACTCAGAGAGAGACACGAGGAGAGCTGGAGCTTTGATGGAGTCAGGACTCAGAGAGACACGAGGAGAGCTGGAGCTTTGATGGAGTCAGGACTCAGAGAGAGACACGAGGAGAGCTGGAGCTTTGATGGAGTCAGGACTCAGAGAGACACAAGGAGAGCTGAGGACACTGAATCACATTTGTTGTCGCTTATGGCTCGAGGTCATCTACACCCCGAGAAGGAAGTGTTCCAGGTGTCCCACAACAATAACTATCTCTGACCGACAGCTGCCCGGTCACAAACTGGTAACAACAACAACTTGCTAGGGCAGCCCCTCCTTAAGGGAGATAACAGCTGCTTAAGGCTGGGCATCTGCGTCAGAGGGCGAAGGAGGGCATGCAGGGCAAATTATTCCCCTACAGAAACCATTGCTCTTTGTTTTTGTTTGATTGGCGTAACATGAGAAAATAAACCCTATAAAACCTCTCGCATGGTCAATGGACTTTTATATTTTGTCTTTTGTTTGGTTTCTTTTTCTGTTTGAGATCCCAGCTGCTTAAACTTGGTTTCTTCCTCCTCTTCTTCTAGTCTCCTGACTCCGTTGTGGATCAACTCGGTGAAGATCCTCCACCAGGTGGCTGCTCAGCACCATCAGCACCATCAGCAGGAAGGACTGATGGTGTTCTGCCAGAGGCTGCAGTACACTCTGCAGGTCAGTCATCAACCATTAAAGGTCCCCTAGTATGCAAACCCCTCTTCTTCATGTCTCTTCTTCATCAACATGTGTCCCCTCTTCTTCATGTCTCTTCTACATCAACATGTGTCCCCTCTTCTTCATGTCTCTTCTTCATCAACATGTGTCCCCTCTTCTTCATGTCTCTTCTACATCAACACGTGTCCCCTCTTCTTCATGTCTCTTCTACATCAACATGTGTCCCCTCTTCTTCATGTCTCTTCTTCATCAACATGTGTCCCCTCTTCTTCATGTCTCTTCTACATCAACATGTGTCCCCTCTTCTTCATGTCTCTTCTTCATCAACATGTGTCCCCTCTTCTTCATGTCTCTTCTTCATCAACATGTGTCCCCTCTTCTTCATGTCTCTTCTACATCAACACGTGTCCCCTCTTCTTCATGTCTCTTCTACATCAACATGTGTCCCCTCTTCTTCATGTCTCTTCTTCATCAACATGTGTCCCCTCTTCTTCATGTCTCTTCTACATCAACATGTGTCCCCTCTTCTTCATGTCTCTTCTACATCAACATGTGTCCCCTCTTCTTCATGTCTCTTCTTCATCAGCATGTGTCCCCTCTTCTCCATGTCTCTTCTACATCAACATGTGTCCCCTCTTCTTCATGTCTCTTCTACATCAACATGTGTCCCCTCTTCTCCATGTCTCTTCTACATCAACATGTGTCCCCTCTTCTTCATGTCTCTTCTACATCAACACGTGTCCCCTCTTCTTCATCAACATGTGTCCCCTCTTCTTCATGTCTCTTCTACATCAACACGTGTCCCCTCTTCTTCATCAACATGTGTCCCCTCTTCTTCATGTCTCTTCTACATCAACACGTGTCCCCTCTTCTTCATCAACATGTGTCCCCTCTTCTCCATGTCTCTTCTACATCAACACGTGTCCCCTCTTCTTCATCAACATGTGTCCCCTCTTCTTCATGTCTCTTCTACATCAACATGTGTCCCCTCTTCTTCATGTCTCTTCTACATCAACATGTGTCCCCTCTTCTCCATGTCTCTTCTACATCAACACGTGTCCCCTCTTCTTCATCAACATGTGTCCCCTCTTCTTCATGTCTCTTCTACATCAACATGTGTCCCCTCTTCTTCATGTCTCTTCTTCATCAACATGTGTCCCCTCTTCTCCATGTCTCTTCTACATCAACATGTGTCCCCTCTTCTTCATCAAGATTTTGTGTTGTGTATATTTCAGTGCCTGGAGCAGTGCTTCCTCGCTGAGGGGAATGGGCTCCCTCTGGATATATTACACTCTGATGAGTACAAGGTGAGTAAGCTAAGACACAAAGCTAAGTCCACATTTCCTCTTTAGTCTTTAATATCATTTCATGTTCTTCTCTAATGTGTCCAAGGCTCTCAAAACTCACCTGTCTCACAACTCTCTGAGCAGCTGGAAGCTTGTGGAGAAGTTTCTGGAAGGGAAAGTATGGGAGCAGGTGAGAGATGCAAAAAGCTTCTTTAACCCCGACATGGTAGCGGTTCAGATCTTTAACCAGTTTTTTCTTTATATACGACAGAAAGTGTACAACGGAGAGAAATATGGTGCGGTCACCCTCCTGGCGTCCTACAGGAGGTCAGACCAGAGACTCAGGATCGAGGTGTTGAACGCCATGAACCTCCTACCAATGGACTCTAACGGTAAGACAATCACATTATAGAGTGGAGCAGGAATTACGTATTCTTTAAGTGAACCCTGAAGGCAGCATCTCCAAGGTTCCCTCCACAAAAATCCAATTGGATTTTTGATAATTGCAGGAAATAACCTCCACGTTTATGATTTGTTCAGCAGGATAATCTCCACATATTAACACCACTTTATGATTTCTGAAGTAAAAAGCTAATATTGGGCTATAAAGGAAAGAGCGGTCACATGACTTCACTTCACCACCGCTAAGCTAAAGGCGGCTAATGTTGGGCTATAAAGAAACGACAGCACGGTCACATGACTTCACTTCACCACCGCTAAGCTAAAGGCGGCTAATGTTGGGCTATAAAGAAACTACAGCACGGTCACATGACTTCACTTCACCACCGCTAAGCTAAAGGCGGCTAATGTTGGGCTATAAAGAAACGACAGCACGGTCACATGACTTCACTTCACCACCGCTAAGCTAAAGGCGGCTAATGTTGGGCTATAAAGAAACTACAGCACGGTCACATGACTTCACTTCACCACCGCTAAGCTAAAGGTGGCTAATGTTGGGCTATAAAGGAACTACAGTACGGTCACATGACTTCACGTCACCACCGCTAAGCTAAAGGTGGCTAATGTTGGGCTATAAAGGAACTACAGTACGGTCACATGACTTCACGTCTCCACCGCTAAGCTAAAGGTGGCTAATGTTGGGCTATAAAGGAACTACAGCACGGTCACATGACTTCACGTCACCACCGCTAAGCTAAAGGTGGCTAATGTTGGGCTATAAAGGAACTACAGCACGGTCACATGACTTCACGTCAACACCGCTAAGCTAAAGGTGGCTAATGTTGGGCTATAAAGGAACTACAGTACGGTCACATGACTTCACGTCACCACCGCTAAGCTAAAGGTGGCTAATGTTAGGCTATAAAGGAACTACAGCACGGTCACATGACTTCACATCACCACCGCTAAGCTAAAGGTGGCTAATGTTGGGCTATAAAGGAACTACAGTACGGTCACATGACTTCACGTCAACACCGCTAAGCTAAAGGTGGCTAATGTTGGGCTATAAAGGAACTACAGTACGGTCACATGACTTCACGTCACCACCGCTAAGCTAAAGGTGGCTAATGTTAGGCTATAAAGGAACTACAGCACGGTCACATGACTTCACGTCACCACCGCTAAGCTAAAGGTGGCTAACAACCAAAAACACATTAAGAAAACCTGTGACTTCCAGACAAGGGGACAGGAAGAGCTAAAATCCTGACTTATTTCTGTTTTTTTTTTACTTTTTCCTGCACAACTTTATTGCATCCGTAGAGATGCATTACTGGAAATTCACATTCCTATGAGATTTTTCCTGATATCCTGATGCTTCTGTGTTTTTTCCAGGTCTGAGCGACCCCTTTGTGCAGCTGTGTTTGGAGCCAAACCACATTTTCCCTGAAGTGGAGCCTCGCTGCACACAGATCAAAAACTGTGATCTCAACCCCCTTTTCGATGAGGCCTTTGAATTGTAAGTTATACGTCTATAATATTCTATGTCACATCTCAGTGTTAACATGTACAGTCACCAGAGGTGGGAAGTAGTGGAGTACAAATACTTTGTTACTGTACTTAAGTACATTGTTCTGGTATCAGTACTTTACTCCACTACTTTTTTTTCTGACGACTTTTTACTTTGACTTCTTACATGTTGAACACAAATACCTGTACTTTCTACTTTTCACATGTTGAACACAAATACCTGTACTTTCTACTTCTTACATGTTGAACACAAATACCTGTACTTTCTACTTCTTACATGTTGAACCCAAATACCTGTACTTTCTACTTCTCACATGTTGAACACAAATACCTGTACTTTCTACTTCTTACATGTTGAACCCAAATACCTGTACTTTCTACTTCTTACATTTTGAACACAAATACCTGTACTTTCTACTTCTTACATGTTGAACCCAAATACCTGTACTTTCTACTTCTTACATGTTGAACACAAATACCTGTACTTTCTACTTCTTACATGTTGAACCCAAATACCTGTACTTTCTACTTCTTACATGTTGAACACAAATACCTGTACTTTCTACTTCTCACATTTCCCAAACAGGCTGGTTCCTTTAGTTTGAATGTGTGTTTGGTGGCGTGATCATTATTATTTAGAGTCATTGCGTGCCTATTGATTTGAACACGATCCGTGTATCCATCATTTCCTGGTCTTCTCTAAAGAAGAGGGACCAATGAAAACGTTGTCATGTTGCCGTTGTTCAGCATGGAAACATTCATTAGCTAACAATGACATTATTGTTCTATTAATATAAAGGGAGGTCAGGTACTCTTTAAAACAGCTGCTAGTTATGGGTACTTTTTACTGAAGTACATTTCAAAGCCCTCTTTACTTTTACTTGAGTAAAGAAGTTTAGTCAGTACTTCTACTTTCACCAGAGTACTTTTTAAACACGAGTATCTGTACTTCTACTTGAGGAAAGGATGTGTGTACTTTTGCCCTCTCTGATTAGACTAACCAACAAAACAGCAGCGCACTTCTAACTAATATTATCTTTATGATCTTTGTACCACAGTCTGATTTCTCTGGAGCAGTGCCAGGCTTCAGGAGCGTGTCTGGTCGTCACGGTGTTCGATCACGACACTTTGAGGACGGACGACTTTGAAGGCGAGGCGTTTTTGGGACTGAAGGCCATCCCGGGAGTCGCAGGACAAATGGAGGGAAATGAACTCAGCTTACATCCGGACGCCGTTCCTGCTCAGATCAGACTGTCTCTGATGCATCCTAAACCCAACGGTAAGGTCTGACACCTGAGTCGGGTCATTTGTCCACTCATTTGGATTGGCAAACAATCTAGAATCTGTATTTACCGCCATTCAAATGAGAGCGAGTGTTTTACCCAAAAAAGGGGCGTGGCCTTGCATAGAGGGAAAGTACCCAGATGTGTTGCTTTCATCTATCTCACTAATGACGTTTTTGCCGTTATTTGGATTCACTTAAAATGTTAATATGTTCTTCCTTGACCAATGCTTCACACGTCCACCAAGTTTCAGGGAAATCTGGCAAGTAGTTTTTCTGTAAACCTGCTAACGAACAGAGAGGGGAGGATTTATTAATAGCTTAAAGGTCCCCTGTTATACTGTTCTTCATCAATATATCACAGGTCTCAGATATATCCAGAGCCTGTCTCTGATTGGCTGAAACACCAAACAGATCATTGCAGCATTACCCATAATCCCCTCTGTTTCAGCCCTGTTTCCAAAGTGCTGATTCTCTGTCTGTTACTTTAGATGAAAATAAGGAGCCCCTCCCCACGCCCCTCTGAGAGAGATTTGGTTAGAAAGAACTCAATGGTGCTCTAGGAGGAGATTCAGGTGATAGGAGGGGGGGGGGGTGTTACCTTGGTTGCTGATTGGCTAATGGTTACACAAGACAAAACATCGTTATGACATCAAGTGGCCAAAATCTGATCAGCTCATTTTCAGACAGGTTTTTATAAAAATGGATCAAAAAGAGAGAGAATCTTTGTTCCTGAAACTTTCAGTCTCTTTACACAGAGGGGACACATGTTGATGAAGAAGAGACATGAAGAAGAGGGGACACATGTTGATGAAGAAGAGACATGAAGAAGAGGGGACACATGTTGATGAAGAAGAGACATGAAGAAGAGGGGACACATGTTGATGTAGAAGAGACATGAAGAAGAGGGGACACATGTTGATGTAGAAGAGACATGAAGAAGAGGGGACACATGTTGATGTAGAAGAGACATGAAGAAGAGGGGACACATGTTGATGTAGAAGAGACATGAAGAAGAGGGGACACATGTTGATGAAGAAGAGACATGAAGAAGAGGGGACACATGTTGATGTAGAAGAGACATGAAGAAGAGGGGACACATGTTGATGTAGAAGAGACATGAAGAAGAGGGGACACATGTTGATGTAGAAGAGACATGAAGAAGAGGGGACACATGTTGATGTAGAAGAGACATGAAGAAGAGGGGACACATGTTGATGTAGAAGAGACATGAAGAAGAGGGGACACATGTTGATGTAGAGGGGACATGAAGAAGAGGGGACACATGTTGATGTAGAAGAGACATGAAGAAGAGGGGACACATGGTGATGTGGAAGAGACATGAAGAAGAGAGGACACATGGTGATGTAGAAGAGACATGAAGAAGAGGGGACACATGTTGATGAAGAGACATGAAGAAGAGGGGACACATGTTGATGTAGAAGAGACATGGAGAAGAGGGGACACATGGTGATGTGGAAGAGACATGAAGAAGAGGGGACACATGTTGATGAAGAGACATGAAGAAGAGAGGACACATGTTGATGTAGAAGAGACATGGAGAAGAGGGGACACATGGTGATGTGGAAGAGACATGAAGAAGAGGGGACACATGTTGATGTAGAAGAGACATGAAGAAGAGGGGACACATGTTGATGTAGAAGAGACATGAAGAAGAGGGGACACATGTTGATGTAGAAGAGACATGAAGAAGAGGGGACACATGTTGATGTAGAAGAGACATGAAGAAGAGGGGACACATGTTGATGTAGAAGAGACATGGAGAAGAGGGGACACATGTTGATGAAGAAGAGACATGAAGAAGAGGGGACACATGTTGATGTAGAAGAGACATGAAGAAGAGGGGACACATGTTGATGTAGAAGAGACATGAAGAAGAGGGGACACATGTTGATGAAGAGGAGACATGAAGAAGAGGGGACACATGTTGATGAAGAAGAGACATGAAGAAGAGGGGACACATGTTGATGTAGAAGAGACATGAAGAAGAGGGGACACATGTTGATGAAGAGACATGAAGAAGAGAGGACACATGTTGATGAAGAAGAGACATGAAGAAGAGGGGACACATGTTGATGTAGAAGAGACATGAAGAAGAGGGGACACATGTTGATGTAGAAGAGACATGGAGAAGAGGGGACACATGTTGATGAAGAAGAGACATGAAGAAGAGGGGACACATGTTGATGTAGAAGAGACATGAAGAAGAGGGGACACATGTTGATGTAGAAGAGACATGAAGAAGAGCGGACACATGTTGATGTAGAAGAGACATGAGGAAGAGGGGACACATGTTGATGTAGAAGAGACATGAGGAAGAGGAGTTTGCATAATAGGTGACCTTTAAAATAACCAAATTGTTTTTATTTCCAGACGACAACATCCTGCGGCTGCTGGAGTCGAGGAGAGGCGAGAGAGAGGCTCAGGCCTACGCCAAGAAGCGAAGACAGCGAGAGAAACAGTCCCAGGAGGGGATTTAACCCAAAACAAAAAACACAAGACAGTTGTTCTTCTTCCAAAAATATACAATTTGTTTTAATGATCTGTACCAAAAACATGGGAGAATCCACTCCGACAGAAACACTGGTGATGGATGAGCTGTGGACAGGATGCTGAGATATAGGTTTAATCAAAGACTTGCATTTAAACAGCGATCAATAATCCGTCTGCTTCTCTGATGCTTTGTCTAATCAGTGCAAGAAATAGCTATGGATTTAATCAACGATGCGTGTGTATGAATAAAATATATATATAAGACGAGATTTGACACAGTGTGACATGTCAAAGATACGGAAGAGGATTAGGGCCACATGTGCATATTTTTTTATTCTGACTGTCTTCCCAAAGCAAAAGAAAAACTGAAAACTTAATAAAGTCATGATTCTTGAAAAAAGTAAAAATTCTGAGAAAAAAGGTATTCAATTTTTGTTCCTAAACTTCTCAGAATTCTGACTTTTATCCCAGAATTAAAAAAATGTTCAGAGCTGCTGGTCCTGGGTCTGTTTGGGGGTTATAAGATGCTGATCCTGGGTCTGTTTGGGGGTTATAAGATGCTGGTCCTGGGTCTGTTTGGGGGTTATAAGATGCTGGTCCTGGGTCTGTTTGGGGGTTATAAGATGCTGATCCTGGGTCTGTTTGGGGGTTATAAGATGCTGGTCCTGGGTCTGTTTGGGGGTTATAAGATGCTGGTCCTGGGTCTGTTTGGGGGTTATAAGATGCTGGTCCTGGGTCTGTTTGGGGGTTATAAGATGCTGGTCCTGGGTCTGTTTGGGGGTTATAAGATGCTGGTCCTGGGTCTGTTCGGGGGTTATAAGATGCTGGTCCTGGGTCTGTTTGGGGGTTATAAGATGCTGGTCCTGGGTCTGTTTGGGGGTTATAAGATGCTGGTCTGGAGTCTGTTCAGGGTCAGGAGAGCTGCTGGTCCTGGGTCTGTTTCTTTTCAGAATTTTTACTTTTGAATCCAATAATTCTGATTGTCTTCCCAACATTGAAAACAATCTGTAAAATTCTCTTTTTTTTTTAAGAACAGAAACAAAGAATACTTAAAAAATCTATTCAAAAATATCTGAATTCTGACTTTTGTTCCAAAAATAATCAGACTTTTTCCCCGAATTCCAAAAAATCTTCAGAATTTTGATATTTTTCCAGAAAAAAATGGAGAATTCTGAGTTTAATGTCAGATCAATAATAACCTTTCATCAGATCTCCAAAAAGTATCCAACATGTGACTCTGATCCTCTTCCGTACAGAGATTACTACAAATGTAAAACATGGCAGAGAAACCTGTCATCGATGTTTGAACGTAGAAAACGGGCTGGTTTTAACATGAAAAGTAAAAAAAAAAGATGAAATTTCAAAGACTACACACGAGTTCATTTGCCTTGATTGCGTTAACATGCTTTTCCTCTTCCAGTTGACGTTCAGAAGAATGTTAGAGAAACCTGAGTGCTTCAACAGAGGCCGTCTGTCGTAGAAATTTAAACAAATATTACTAAACATTTTAAATATGTTCTGTTATTATTCAACAGTAATTGAGAATTTCTTTTGCTAAAAAAAACTATGAAAAAATTAAGGATATAATCTACAAGTGCTACTGGTATAACGACCCCGATTTGGCGTCAGCGGTTTATATTATAAATGATGCTAAATATGCCCTTTAAGCGTTTTAAGTCAGACCTGATTATTTATTTTGAGATAGCTCATGAATGCCAGACATGTTTAAGAGTTGCTATTGACCTTAAAAAGTGGCACAAACATTTTTAAAACCTCAGGAAACACAATTCCAGATAGATAGATAGATAGAGAGATATATATAGAGAGAGAGAGAGGTAGGTAGATGGAGAGAGAGAGAACACCGGTATCATGTTCTTTAAAGTGAGCTAATTCTGTAAAATGCTAGCGTTTATTGTTTTTTGCTGTACTTTGATATATTTTTGTGTTGAATTGTGCCAATTATATATATTTCAAATATTATATATTCATACGAAGGCAGCTCATACCAGATCCTGTCATCCCTTTGATGGCTTAAATGCCTCAGAACATGTAACATTCGTAGGCGAGTTCTCCTGCATCACGTCCTCGTTGTGTAAAAGGCCTTTTTTAGAGTTTGAGAGGAAGTCAAAGCAGGTCTTATTTTCACAAATCTAGAAAAGGCGTAAAGAACAGTGTCGCTGGTCAAGAGCATTAACTAGTAAAAAAAGTACTTGTGTTCCACGGGTAACCAACTAGAAAAATCCTAGAGCTTTCACTGAGAGACGGTCATTTATCAAATACAAAACCAGATCTGTGTCACATTATAAAACGTCCTCCAACTGAACATTAGATAGAGATCTAGAGAGCTGGTATTATGAGAGGAATCAGGACTGACTGGTGTAAGAAGGGGGTCAGAAGATGCTGCCGGTCTGGGGTCTGTTCGGGGGTCATAAGATGCTGGTCCTAGGTCTGTTCGGGGGTCATAAGATGCTGGTCCTAGGTCTGTTCGGGGGTCATAAGATGCTGGTCCTAGGTCTGTTCGGGGGTCATAAGATGCTGGTCCTAGGTCTGTTCGGGGGTCATAAGATGCTGGTCCTAGGTCTGTTCAGGGGTCATAAGATGCTGGTCCGGGGTCTATTCGGGGGTCAGGAGAGCTGCTGATCCTGGGTCTATTCGGGGGTCAGGAGAACTGCTGGTCCTGGGTCTGTTCGGGGGTCAGGAGAGCTGCTGGTCCTGGGTCTGTTCAGGGGTTATAAGATGCTGGTCCGGGGTCTATTCGGGGGTCAGGAGAGCTGCTGGTCCTGGATCTGTTCAGGGGTTATAAGATGCTGGTCCTGGGTCTAATCAGGGGTCATAAGATGCTGGTCCGGGGTCTATTCGGGGGTCAGGAGAGCTGCTGGTCCTGGGTCTGTTCAGGGGTCATAAGATGCTGGTCCGGGGTCTATTCGGGGGTCAGGAGAGCTGCTGGTCCTGGGTCTGTTCAGGGGTCAGGAGAGCTGCTGGTCCTGGGTCTGTTCGGGGCAGAGGGGGCAGTCCGTGGAGCTGGAGCAGCTCTCACACTGCAGGCCGTGACCACAGATCAGCGAAACTGATCCTGGATCTCCACAGGTCACACAGCACTGCCTCTGCTTCCTGTACACCACCTTCAGGAGACGCAGAGGAACACATTTAGACCTCGAGAAAGACATCTCTGGAGGATTAACCCGGTGGTTTTTGTAACATAAAAATGATTTAGATAATGATGTGGGTCAAGGTGCAACGGCATCCCCCAGAGTAGAAAATAGTTTCACTTTTGAACACAGCACACTTACCAAAACATTACCTTTGATTAAAATACACATTTCTCATAATCCTTAGAGACTTTGCACAACTTGAAAAAAGTATGCCTAGTCGTTTGAAGGTATTTTAATGCATGATACACGTTATGCTGTTGTTGGTAGACTGCAGTGTTCTACAGGTGTGTGTGTGTTACCTGCTCCACCGCCTGTAAGCTGCTGCAGATCTGCGCCTGCAGGCTGACCACAGAGTCCAGCGGCAGGCGGTGCAGCAGCTGCAGCTGATGGAGAGCCAGATGAGGGTTTTCTCCGTTCCTTAAGCTCTCCAGCGCCTCCTGCAGGAGAGTGGCCTGCCGCTGCGCCTCCTCCTCCGCCTGCTTCGCTCGCTCCGACTCCATCGATAACCGAGAAGCACGAGATCGAGACTCCTCTGCGTCCGCCTTCAGAGCCGCCCACGACTACAGGAGGAAGAAAGCAGGAAACAGTACAATTTACCAGGTGAACGCAAAAAAAACTCAGAATACTTAAAAATTCAAAATTCAGGAAATAATTCAAAATTTGAGGAACCGTTTTTTTTTTCAGAATTTTTATTTTTTATCCCAGAATGCTGAAAACTGAATATCAGAATTATGAAATTATAATTTTAAAAGTAAAATACCTACCGAATAAGATAAGATAAGATAGTACTTTATTGATCCCAATTTGGGACATTTTAGAATCTCGGGGTGTTTCTCAATGTCGAGGAAGGATGCTCCAGAGCCACTATTTCAAGGATGCTACGTCATCGAGTCCCGTCGAAGGACTGTTCCAATGTCCAGGCTCCTTGGAATTCTACCGATCCCGGCATACTTCGTTGCGGGAAATGTCGAGGCTGCACATGTGTATCCTCCGTAGGTCTTAAAATCCCCACAATGCTTTGCGCACGGACCAATTTCCACAATCTTTAGCGGAAATCGCGCTCCATTTAAGGCGGGGCCTCTCATATGACGCACTAGGAAGGATTCTTGCCTCGCTTCTGAAGGACCTGACTCGGAAGACATGTCTTACCAAGGAAGCATCCTCGACATTGAGAAACACCCTATAGCTTTAGTATAAACCTTGTGGCCATTTCTGTCACTTTTTTTCAGCAAAAAAACCCAGAATACTTGAGAAAATCTCATAATTCAGGAAACAATTTAACATTTGAGGAAAATGTATTATTTTCTTAATTTTTTCTCTCCAGAATTTTAACTTGTTATCCCATAATGATGACTGTCTTACTAAAAAAAAGAAAAAAATCTGTAAAATTCTCATATTTCTGTGAAAAAAAACCCAGAATACTTAAAAAGTCAGAATTATAAAATGATATATTACCTACCAACTAATCTTCAGTATCTCCATTTCTCTCCCTCTCGCCCCACTACCTACCCACCTGAGCTGAGTGCCTCCAGCTGTGGCTCCACTGCTTCAGCGCCCTCTGAGCCTCCTCCAGCTCCTGCTTCAGACGAGGGGTTTCTGCACACGGCCCTGAAGCCAGCAGCGTGGGGGGGGTCCCCGGAGAGCCCTGCCCCGAGGGGAAGTGCTCCCAGATATTACTGCTCATACCATTCAGACCTGCAGGGAGAAGGGATAGAAATGTAGATTAACTATTCACTTCAAAACCTGGTCTCAAAGAGGACTTCTTCTGCTCGGGCGTTTCCCTTGCAGTAGAAGATTAAATAAAATACAGGACATTTATATTTCCACCAACCTAACGAGCTGTGCGACGGTCCCAGGAAGGTGCTCTCTGATTGGCTGGGCTGTGAGAGGGGCGTGGAGAAGAAAGGCGAAGAGTGCGTCCTGATTGGTGGAGAAGGCGAAGGCGAGCTAAAAGGGGCGGAGCTGCTAAAAGACCCCGGGATATTTACTGGAGCTGAACTCTGGAACTGGCTACCTCCTGGAGGAAAGAGACAAACAATAATGAGTTGTGTTTAAACTTTAAAGCGATGTGTTTCTCAAAGGTTGGAGTAGTTCATGGAAACAATCAGTTTTAATTGACTAGCAGCAGCTAAAAATATGTAGAAAGGAGAAAAACATATCAGAAAGATGAAGGTGTTCTGGGAAGAGGTACGAGGTACAATAAACAAGATCATTTCAAAGCAGATTTGACTGGATCCAAAGTGTTTTCTGTTGGGTTTGTATCCAGAAGAGCATGACTATAGTGAGCGAACATTTAATGGTGCTTTTCCACTGCAGGGCCTCGCGCGGCTTAGTTCGGTATGGCTAGGCCTTGGTAGGCCTGGCTCACTTTAAGCTGCGTTTCCATTACAGTTTAGTAGCTGGGGTAGTTACTATAGTAACGCAGTGTAGGCGGAGCCGTGACGTCGTCTTCAATGAGAACCACAAAACCAACATCAGCCGTTAGCTGTTAGCACTCAGAGCTCACAGCTCCTCATATCTGTTCAGAAACTAGACAAAAGTTAAACAAGTACAAACCACAGACTGCCTGTGTCATGGTGAATACAGTCGCTGCTTTATTTATGTCTGTATAGGCCGTTGTTGTGAGTGTGGACGGTCGGAGCATATACTGCGTTAGCTTAGCCAATCTCCATTTAGAAAACAAGCATTTTAAAAGGTTTTTCGCCTGCCGTCTGTCTGCAGACTTGTCAAAGCATTAATTCATGGTTTTTACTAACCGGTATCAGTATGTTGTTACTTCGGCATCATTTTGAAACGTGTATTACAATTAAATCACGGTCAAATATGTCCATCTTGTTGTAGTTGTAGCCCCCTTGCCAGCGATTCTCTCTGACCAATCAGCCGTCGAGAGTGTTTACGTCACTAGTTTAGCATATTCAGCCGGAACTAGCCTTAGTGGAAACGCAACAAAAGGCTTAACCCGTGCTGCAGTGGAAAAGCGCCATTATAGACCTCTGCTTCGTCTACGCCAAAACCTGTATTGCATTGTTTTGGAAAAAGGCTCACAGCCCAAGCATCACTGATTGGTTGAATCGGAAGCTGTCAGGCCTCCCATTGGAGGAGATATCCTAATATTAAGGTCCAGACAGCATGTGAGAACGTGTGGAGGCCCTTTATTGATTATGTAAAGGACCTTAATGGATCTAATGGTCAAGAGGATAAATAGGTGCAGATCCCTAGACTGCCTTGTGTCATACTGAAGTCAACTTAGATTTAGAATGACAGATACAAGAACATGTATTTGAGGTAACGAGCAGCAGCTAAAAATATGTAGAAAGGAGAAAAACGTATCTCACTAAATAGTCAGGACTTTTCAGGCTTTATTTGTTGTACTACCAGAAATGTTTTTACGCTTGTCGGGTTAAATTGGATGATAAATATTTGTAAATATTCTCAAAAGTTTGGTAGACACTGCTTAACATGGTGTAAAATGGTGTGTTTAGTTCAGATATTACCCAGCATGCATCCCACATTGGGTAAAGCAGAGCTGCTCTCCAGCCCCGAGGCACCGAAATCATTCAGATCCAGATCATCTAGAGCCGACTCTGTGAAACAGAAACACAGATATTAATCAGATTTACAGTCATTTCAGATTCATATGGTCACAGCTGTGTGGTTTCTGCACGTCTCCAACTCACCAACGACGGACTCCACGGTCTCACTGGTGGGATAGAAAGGCAGGGCGTTGGCGTTCATGCCCGAAGAGATGCTGGATCCCAGGGGGCCAATGGGAGCCGGGCTGGGGGGGGTGGCAGCCAGACTGGAGGGGATGCTGGAGGAGAGACTGAGGGGGCTTCCTACTGGCAGAAACACCAACAAGTCCTGGAGGAATCACGAGAAACAACAGTTATTAACTACGTGAGGGGTCATGTGCAGCGAGGCCCTGGATCACGGAGCCCGACGCGATCACCCTGTCGGTTGTTCTTTCTCCAATAATGCCCGCCTCGCTGCACATGATCCCGCTTATTTCACGGCCAGATACTAAACACACTAACGACTTGACTCCCAATATTAATTGAAATGATTTTATTGACTTAAAAATGATCGTATTATAGCTTCCTCTAAGAAAGTAAACTCTGGCTGGAGCTCCGACAACAACAAGTGAATTTAAAGGTCCCATGTCATGGCCATTTCTACTGATCATAATTCCATTGTTGAGGTCTCGCAGCAGCGAGCCTCGCAACGTCCCGCCGAGTGTGTGTGTGTGAGGAAGTCCGCGGATTGGTCCAAGCGTAACGGCTCCGCGTATACCCAAATACGTCACTATACCCAAATACCTCACTATACCCAAATACCTCACTATACCCAAATACGTCACTATAACCAAATACCTCACTATACCCAAATACCTCACTATACCCAAATACCTCACTATACCCAAATACCTCACTATACCCAAATACGTCACTATACCCAAACACCTCACTATACCCAAATACCTCACTATACCCAAATACCTCACTATACCCAAACACCTCACTATACCCAAATACCTCACTATACCCAAATACGTCACTATACCCAAATACGTCACTATACCCAAATACGTCACTATACCCAAATACGTCACTATACCCAAATACGTCACTATACCCAAATACCTCACTATACCCAAATACCTCACTATACCCAAATACGTCACTATACCCAAATACGTCACTATACCCAAGAAGTAAACAATGGAATAAGAGAAATGTCCAACGAGGCGTTCTGGGGCAGCACAGACAGGTCTTTTCTGTGTTTTACTCGCTACAGGGTGTACTTTGAGGGTTTGTGACTCTGCAGACCGTTTACATGCACAGCTACATAACACACAAGGGGACGGGTAATAACCAGAAAAGCCTGACATGGGACCTTTAAGATGAAGGCAGCTCTGATCAATGTTTTCTGTCCACAGTTTCAAGTCCTTAAACACTACAGAGTCCATACCGTGTTCCCGTTAGTGTTCACTTCCTGTCTGTGTCTGAGGTCCAGCACTCCCGTCTTTTAAACATTCTCTCTCTTCATCCTCCTTAGGTCATTATAGTGCTTAACAGCGGTCTGTACTAATGTCATATTGACTTCTAAAATGTCCCATTTGACCAATCAGAGTCGATTATTCAACTAAGCCATGTACATGTATGCAGGAATCCTGAAGTTACATGTAATACCTTTGAAGACCTTTTTTAAGACCCTTTCCATACATTTTATCGCCACTTTGAGTTTTAACCGGTTACCTTGGCGACACACTTTACCTCACATTGACTATATACAGTATTGATTGTCCTTCCTCCTTATCTTCCAACCATTTGCGGTATATTTGGAACTTTAAGTATTTTTGGATCTTTAAGTATTTTTGGAACTTTAAGTATTTTTGGAATTTACGGTATTTTTGGAACTTTAAGTATTTTTGGAACTTTAAGTATTTTTGGAATTTACGGTATTTTTGGAACTTTAAGTATTTTTGGAATTTACGGTATTTTTGGAAGTATTTTTGGAACTTTAAGTATTTTTGGAATTTACAGTATTTTTGGAACTTTAAGTATTTTTGGATCTTTAAGTATTTTTGGATCTTTGGACGCTTTCCATACATTTTAAGACCTCATCGCCACTTCGAGTTTTAACCGGTTACCTTGGCGACACACTTTACCTCACATTTATTGATTGTCCTTCCTCCTTATCTTCCAACCATTTGGACGCAGACTTGCATTTCCCCATAACGATGTTGTTTAACAACCGGCGTAAACGGACCTTCGCGCGCTATCAAGCAGTGAGCGTGCGATGTCCTGTTCAGATGACGTCAAACCCAACGGGATGCCATAAATAAACTACACAGAATCACACTACACACCTACGCAATGATTACATTCAGGCAGACTGTAGAATACAACCTCTTTGGACAATTTATATACTTATTGAGAACAAGCTACAAAATGTAAGACCTTGGAAAATGCCGTTTAATACTTTTTAATAGCCTTAATTTTCGCTAAATTGATTTATCAACTTGTAATACTCTGTAAGACCCCGCGGACACCCTGATGTAATAAAATGTGTTGTAGCGTAGCCAATAGGAGCGTGAGTGTTCGATAGTGATGTCACTGTGTTCAGGAAGTAAAGAAAGCAGTCCAATGGAGGCGTTGTACCTGTTTGCTTTGTGCTGTTGCAAATTCTCTGTGTCGTTGCTCGAGAGCGAAACTCCTCTGCTTCGCCTGAAACCAGAAAGATGAGAAAGATCAAAACAGGATATCAGTCTTAGAAAAAGTTTTTAAAATGTTATTAAAAAGAAATGATAATGTTTGTGAAGTTAATTTAATGTATGTATGTGACTTGTAATGTATTTCCTTTTGTAATGTCTTGTGGAGGTTTGTGTACTGTCTCATATATTATCTAAAAAAACTGTTGTATTTATATTTAAATCATAATGCATGCAATCCTCTCTTTTCCTCACCTGGTCTTCCCTCTCGAACCCCGGCGCTCTCCCGTACCCCCCCTCTCCGGCCCACGCGCTCATATCCTCGCACAGAGACAACACATTACCCAGAAGCCCTTGCTCCGCCACACATGACCCCGCAGAGGGGGAGAAAGGGTCCGAATAAGAACCAGAACCAGAACCAGAACCCATCCTGAGCCTGATGGGGCTGGGGCAGGCGTCCTGAGCAGGGAGGGGGTCCGGAGGCCGGGGGGGGCGGGGGGGAGCTGGGGGTGGGGAAGGAAGGCTCCTCTGAGGAAAAAGGTCCTGGAAGAGGGGTACAGAGAAAATGTATTTAAAAGGTCTCCTATTACAGGGTTCATACACTTTTTCACCAATGATTTTCAATGACTTTCAATGACTTCTCCAGGACCTTTACCTAATTTTCCATGACCAAAGAAATGACTCTTTCTCAGCGGTACCACTGAAAATGGTTTATTTTAACATGGAACAGGAAAAAAAGGTCTGCATCTGAAACATGTTGTGCCTAATAGGCTTACTAGCTTCTACACGCTAAAGCCACTCAAATCTCTCACCAGCAAAACACCTCGTCAGTTAAATGCCATTTTACGTTTCATTACGATACGATACAGTATTTATTATCATTATAGTATTACTATTTCGGCGATTAGATCAAATATAAATTATATTTGATGCAACTTTAGTTACATTTCCATGACTTTTCCAGGGCCTGGAATTAGCATTTTGAATTTCCATGACTTTTCCAGGTTTTTAATGACCGTAAGAACCCTGCTACTATACAGATCACCCATTCTAGCCATGCCTCATATCCCTCTATTTCAGCCCTGTTACTAAAGTGCTGATTCTGGGTCAGTAGCTTTAAAGGTCACCTATCATGCTATTTTTAGGCAATAGCATGGGTCTCATGAAAAATGAAAAACATGTCTATGATGTGTTTTGCTCAAAATACCAAACAGATCATGCATTTTAGAAATCCCTCACATCCCTCAAATCCCTCATATCCCTCACATCCCTCACATCCCTCACAACCCTCACATCCCTCACAACCCTCACATCCCTCACATCCCTCATATCCCTCACAACCCTCACATCCCTCACATCCCTCATATCCCTCACATCCCTCACATCCCTCACAACCCTCACATCCCTCACATCCCTCACATCCCTCATATCCCTCTATGTGTATAAAACACATACAAAAAGCGCATTTTGCATGATAGGAGACCTTTAATGTTTCGGTAAAGGGACTTACTTTCAACGTGAGCGAAGGCGCAGAACGGCCCCCGAGGGCAGCTGCCACTCTGCTGCATGTCGTTACACTTTGTGGATTTATAGATCTGGAATAACAAGCAAACACAAAAAGGTTTATTGACCTGCGGGGATTTAAGTGAGTGTGTGGTTTTTTTCAACATTCTGAGAAAATAAAAAAAGATTTTTCAGAATTTAAAAAGAATATATTTTTAAAAACAGACGTCAGATGTTTTTTTTTTAGATATAAATATATGTATTATTTTCTCCCAGAATGTTTAGATAAAAGATAAAACCTTTTTTTCTGAGATGATCTGAACATTTTATTTTTATTCAGAATTTTTATAAAAAATCCCAAGAATTCAGTTTTTTAGGAAACAAATTAATTCTCAGGTAAAAACAACTCTGACATTTTATTTTTCTCCAAAACGTTAATTTTTTCACGATTCTGATCTCAGTTTTCTGAGATTTTCATTTTCTTTTTATTTAGAACATTTTTTTCTTCAGAATAAAAAAAACACATTTAAAAAAGAATTTGCTCGAGAATTCTGAAAATGTCAGGAAAAAAAAAAGTCAAATAATTTCTCTGTTTATATATTTTTGATTGTCAGACGGACCTCGGGGTGAAACTGCTGCTCGGTCCGGGTGTGGCAGTACTGACAGCTCTCCGCTCCCTCACATTTACTCGGGTCGCCCCACTCCTCGCTCTGCTTCACGGCCGGACACGGCAGCGCTCTGCTCACACGGGGACACACACGTATTCAGACACGTCCAAACTCAATGCAAACTAACAGCAAGGTGTGTAAACACAGTCGGGGGGTGCTTCACCTGTATTTGTGTTTGTGCGGGCTGCGTCTCCGGTCTTTGCTGTTGTGGAAGTACGGACAGGCGTAACCTTGACGACACAAACGAGGAGGTTTCTTACAGAGCTCCGTTTTATAGTGGGAGAGCACGTAGTTGTTATCTGAGGGAGGAAACACACAGAGACAAAGACTGGTAAACACCCGAGTGCTCCGATAAACATTCGTCATCTTGCGATCTACTTATTTATCTAAATAGTTATCACCGCAATAAACCGTATTTAATTGGTCAGAATTTTTCCACAACTTTATTTGACCTTGCAAAAAGTGAGAGGTATAATTAGGTCGGTTTTTTAGGTCTAAAAAAAACTGAAATTCATAGAAATACGTAGAATTCTGGGATTTTCAGTTTTCAAATGCAACTTTATTTTTTAGGAATTCCCCGATTTTCCACATCTTTCCAATGTTTTCACTTTCATGACCGTGGGAAACCTATTTTAAAGGTCCCCTATTATCCTGTTCTTCATCAATATATCACAGGTCTCAGATATATCCAGAACCTGTCTCTGATTGGCTGAAACACCAAACAGATCATTGCAGCATTACCCATAATCCCCTCTGTTTCAGCCCTGTTTCCAAAGTGCTGATTCTCTGTCTGTTACTTTAGATGAAAATAAGGAGCCCCTCCCCACGCCCCTCTGAGAGAGATTTGGTTACAAAGAACTCAATAGGCGCGTTCACACCAAGTACTTTTCCCACAAAGGTTCATGAGAACTCTTTAGTTCAGAGTGAGTACAGATCACGTTCACACCGGAATAAGTTCCTGGGGAAGGATTAGGCAAATGAAGCCGCTGACGTCACTTCTTCTTCTTCTTCTGCTTTGGGTTTACTGGCAGGCCACAAACCACTTCACGGCGTATACTGCCACCCGGAGTCCCCGGCCGGAAGTCCCCGGAGTTGGGGACTGGCTTCAGTAGAAGCTGCTGGGACTCCCAGCAGCTTCTACTGAAGCCTTCAGAGTAAATCGCCAGAACGCCGACACCTCCTCATCTCCACCGCTCCCATGTTTTCTTTTGTGTTGCCATAAGTTAGTCTCTCTGCGTTTGTGCGCTGGGCTAATGCTAATGCTAATAATGCTAATGCAAGGATAATAAAATGGCGGCTTCACAAAACTTTTTGGGAGTTTTACGGGGCGTGGTTTGCAATCCGCCCAGCCAATCAGACATAGGAACCTTTTTCTCCCACGAAAGTCCCTGCTCTCTAGCAGGGACGGAAAAGGGGGTGGAAAGGTTCTCATGAACTCATTTTAGTTCCGGCTCTTTTTGGTGTGAACGCGACATTTCGGAACTATATCGGAATTAAAGTGGGAAAAGTACTGCGGTGTGAACGCGGCTATAGGTGCTCTAGGAGGAGATTCAGGTGATAAGGTGGGGGGGGGGGGGGGGGGGTTAGAGACATGAAGAAGAGGGGACACATGTTGATGTAGAAGAGACATGAAGAAGAGGGGACACATGTTGATGAAGAAGAGACATGAAGAAGAGGGGACACATGTTGATGTAGAAGAGACATGAAGAAGAGGGGACACATGTTGATGAAGAGAGACATGAAGAAGAGGGGACACATGTTGATGAAAGAAGAGACATGAAGAAGAGGGGACACATGTTGATGTAGAAGAGACATGAGGAAGAGGGGACACATGTTGATGTAGAAGAGACATGAAGAAGAGGGGACACATGTTGATGTAGAAGACACATGAAGAAGAGGGGACACATGTTTGATGGAAAGACATGAGCAGGGACATATGAAGACAGAAGAGAGGGACACATGTTGATGTAGAAGAGACATGAAGAAGAGGGGACACATGTTGATGTAGAAGAGACATGAAGAAGAGGGGACACATGTTGGGGGACACATGTTGATGTAGAAGAGACATGAAGAAGAGGGGACACATGTTGATGAAGAAGAGACATGAAGAAGAGGGGACACATGTTGTTGTGTAGAAGAGACATGAAGAAGAGGGGACACATGTTGATGTAGAAGAGACATGAAGAAGAGGGGACACATGTTGATGTAGAAGAGACATGAAGAAGAGGGGACACATGTTGATGTAGAAGAGACATGAAGAAGAGGGGACACATGTTGATGTAGAAGAGACATGAAGAAGAGGGGACACATGTTGATGTAGAAGAGACATGAAGAAGAGGGGACACATGTTGATGAAGAAGAGACATGAAGAAGAGGGGACACATGTTGATGTAGAAGAGACATGAAGAAGAGGGGACACATGGTGATGTAGAAGAGACATGAAGAAGAGGATTTTGAATAATAGGTGACCTTTAAATCTCTGTGTCTCAGACGTACCTTGCCAGCGTGGCTCTTCGCTCAGGATCTTCTCAATGAGCGCTGTACTCGCCGCCTGACCCGACTCTCCTCCGCCTCCCCCTCCCTCCGAGGGTCCCTGACACTCCATCACCTGAACCTCCCTGAAACACACACACACACACACAGTAAACAAAGGGGCTCACACACACAGGGTCTGGGGTATAATCAGAGGTTATTTCGGCACCTGATGTCGTACACAGGGCTGCGCAGGTCATGTGATCCATGGGCGAAGGCGCAGTGCGACCCGTTTTTACTGCAGTGGCCCTTGGAGTCCGTCTCGTGGATACAGGAGCCGGTTTTATAATATCGGAGGTGATATCTACGCTCTGTGTCGCCCGCCGTCCGGTGCAGAAACGGGCATCTGCCAGACAGGAAACAAAGAAACAACACATGGATTTTAACAGAGAAGAAGACCTTTAAGGGGAATAATGGACAGAATATATATGTTCAAATATATCATACAGTAGTCATGTGTTAATAAGAGCCCAATTTTCGAGTCAATTCAGTAAATTCAAGTTGGAAACATTTTCTAACAAATCTAAGTTGATAAGAAAAAAGCCCAATAATTTATTTTCATAACAAGCTTGAAATAAAAATGTTCATTTAAAAAGAAATATTAACAAAAAAAGGTTATATTAAAGGTGACCTATCATGCTATTTTTAGGCAATAGCATAGGTCTCAGATATATAAAAAACATGTCTATGAAGTGTTTTGCTCAAAATACCAAACAGATCACCCATTCTAGACATGCCTCATATCCCTCTATTTCACTTCCTGTTTCAAAAGTGCTGATTTGGGGTATAAAGTTTTAAAAAAAATAAAAAAATTGATACAAAATCAAAAGGAGGGGGCTGAGCTCATGCGGGACCCGGCAGCTACTGTCTAAACTAAATACTGCCGTGATGAAACTCCATATCATGGATTATCAAGGATTATTTCTGAAACAGTATGGAGCTCAAAGGCTTTCTCTCTTGCCGGTTATACCACAAGGTGAGTTCCTTTTTATTTCCTGCTTCTTCACACACATGCTCTCCAGTACAGGTTAGCTCTGAGTGTTAGCGATGCTAATGTAAACACCGACCATATTACGTCCAAAACAGTCGGGCATTGTTTCTGATAGCAACGTTTCTGATAGGGCCGTGGGTCCACATTTCAGATATTACGTCATATCGGACGCAAATCTGGATCAGCTCCGTTGTAGCCCCGTTTTTAGAGATTTGGGTACGGAGGAAAAGAGAGAGGGTTTTATTTCCTGACGCTGCGTGATTTCCCCGACACACCGGGGACACATAAAGACATCAAAAAGTGCATTTTGCATGATAATGATGACCTTTAATGGGTTTTTAATATAGATTTGCAGTCATTTAAAGACAGCGACATGGGGGACTGAATTACTTTCGTTATGGTGAAGAGGTTTTTGTTTTCCTTGCACAGAAGAGCAATTAAAAACCACTGAATAATCAAAATAAATTGCACCTAAACATTGGCCATCAGACAAAGTATTACTCCAAACATTGATATAGATAATGACTCAGAGTTTATGAATCTTTGCATCCCAAACACACGAGTATAAATAAGCGTTTTGTTCAAAATACTTCCTAACTAAGGATTTTGAGAATGTTTTCAAATGTTCCCGTAGCTCTCTGATGAGCGGCTCATTAGCAAAACAAAAACATCCAAATCTGACCCATCATCCTCCACATTTACATCCCTCTACGTCTGTGAAGAACTGAACACTTCTGTCTCCAAGAGTACGTTCAGATGCTAATGCTAACGGTGGAGATTATGCATGAGGCTCGTTTCTCTACAACTAGACATTGCATTGTGTAAAGGGTGTTTCCTCCTCTATCAACACTTCACTGTCTGTCACATTACCCAGTGCTTTGTCATGCATTTGAACAACACAGGAGACAGCAATTCAGGATTTAAATATCAAAAGCTTTAGAGAGGAGATACCTGCAAGAAGCTTTTTCAACCCTCCTCCCAAAAAAGAGCTGTTATATGATGTTTTCTAGTAGATCTAGTAATTCCTTTTAAACCCACTACAAAAAGTGACGGGTGTGTACAGCACGGCCAGATGTTTGATAACTTCTGTATGTGTACAATCAATAATACCAGAAAGTGCCATAAAGTACAATAAAGTTGCCCTCAGAGTGATTAATGATGCCCAAAATGCACAATACATTGAGCGATTTCTGACGTAGATATTCAGTATTATTTTTAAATCTGCGCTGTTGCTTTGTGTTCACGGATCTCTTCTCACATCACCAAACAATTATACTCTTATAGGCTTAATTGTTTATAAACTTCAACCGTTTTAATAAATAAAATGTTTTTATTAAGTATATTATGCTCCTTGTAGCACTTTGAGATTACTTTTAGCAATGAATTGTGCTTTGCAAATAAAATGTATTATTATTATTATAAACGTGACATGCAAGAACACTCAGACACTAATGTACATTCTCAAAGATATTGAAGTGACTGTTATTTTGTTGTGCGTCTTAATGTGTGCATATGTGTCTGTTGATTGTGTATATATATCTCCAGGGTATATGCAGGAGTCCTGAAGTCAGATGTAAAACCTTTTAAGACCTTTTTTAAGACCCTTTCCATACATTTTAAGACCTCATCGCCACTTTGAGTTTTAACCGGTTGCATTGGCGACACACTTTACCTCACATTTACTATATACAGTATTGATTGTCCTTCCTCCTTATCTTCCAACCATTTGGACGCAGACTTGCATTCCCCCATAACGATGATGTTTAATAACCGGCGTAAACGGACCTTCGCGCGCTATCAAGCAGTGAGCGTGCGATGTCCTGTTCAGATGACGTCAAATCCAACGGGATGCCATAAATAAACTACACAGAATCACACTACACACCTACGCAATGATTACATTCAGGCACACTGTAGAATACAACCTCTTTGGACAATTTATATACTCATTGAAAACAAGCTACAAAATGTAAGACCTTGGAAAATGCCGTTTAATGCCGTTTAATTTTCGCTAAATTGATTGATCAACTTGTAATACTCTGTAAGACCCCGCGGACACCCTGAAATAGGTATATACATATTTACATACTTATTTTTATATATATTTGTTTTTGTATTCTGGATTGTGGGAAACGGTATTTCTCTCTCTCTCTGTACACAAACTGAAAAATGTGTTTATCTGTTTTGCACTGATCTGTTGTGCAAAGGTTTATGTGACATGTATAGCTTTATTAAGGCTCTGATAACCAATGCAAACAGGATGTGATATCTCAGCTTCACTCACTCGTCTCCATCGGGGCAGGTTCCCGTCCCCTCGTCGTATTTGGTGCAGTAAACGTCGGGGCTGTAGTTGAACGTCCCGTCTCGGCGGCGCATGGGTCTGCGGCGCCGCTGGTTCAGAAAGTGCCAGTGGAAACAGGAGAAGGGACGGTGCTGCGTGCATTTGTGCTGAACGAACAGAGGGCACTGCTCCGTCCTGAACTCCTTCAGATACCTGGAGGGGGGGGGGGGGGGAGGAACTCAGTCAAGATTCAAGGCTTTATTGTCATTCGTACATTAGCTACAGTGACTCTCTAAATACGCACTTTTCCTGAAAATCAAGTTAAAAAACCTGTCAAGAATTTAAAAGTTTGAGTGCAGAGGGGACGAATGATTATATGAATGAATTGGAGTGATTATAGTGACTGTTATGTCCGGCAGTGGCTCAGTCAGTAGGGGCTTGGACTGTGAGCCGTAGGGTCGCCGGTTCAAGTCCCCGACCAGATCTAAAATATGGAGTGTGGACTACTACTTGGAGAGGTCCCAGTTCACCGCCTGCCCTGCCGTGGTGCCCTTGAGCAAGGCACCGGACAACCCCCTTCCCTCCTCACTCCCACTGCTCCCCGGGCGCTGTACAATAGCTGCCCACTGCTCCTAGTAGTTCTGATGGGTTAAAAGCAGAGAACACATGTCACTGTGTGTGCTGTGTGCTCTGCATGTGTGATCATTAAAGAGGGTTTCATCCCTCCCAAGTATTCCTCTGGGTTGTGGGAAACAAGATCTCTCGGTCTGTACACACAAACTGAAAGGTTGACTTTGAGTTTGATAACCGTTAGAATACATTTAAAGTATATTTAAGATTTTTCTAGTATGGCCCATTTCAGATTTCTACATTTTAATATCATAATTATCAATGCATTAGTGTTGATGTTGGACCTGAGAAAGGTGGGCATTGTTTACATGACTTGTTATACTGCTAGGTAGCTTAATCTGTAATCATGCATACTGATTTAAGGGTTGATTTGTATTCTGTATTATCGATCCATACATGCAAAGAAGCTAGTAACTCAATTTGTAAAAAGAAATAAGGTAAGAATTGCCTCCAAAATGTAGTGAGCCGTTACATCCCACCACAATGAGACATACTTATACATAAATAACTTAAATAAAGCTTATAATAAAGAGTTGGTGAGTAGTGTTAGGCCTCTGAATTGAGCCCTGCCCCCATTCAAAAACACATTAACCCGAAATAAGCTTTGTTTAGCCATATTAAACAATACAACGTGTATTAACGACTCTTTTAATAGTTCTAATAGTGAAAGAAAACAGTGCAAGAGACCACTTGGTGCAAGTAACGTTATGCAAAAACAATGGAGATTAAAGTACAATATTTAACAGTAAACATGTACAATTAGTATATTTCAATATACAGTGGTGTACAGTCTTATTAAAGATATGCTCAAAGATAAATGTAGTAATGTATACATGTATAAGAGGTATCTATACCATTCATAGATGTATTCAGATTGAACCTCAGTCAAGTTAAAGTGATTTAATTAACTTTATGCAGCAATTAGACACATGTACAAATGAAGAACTTAAATAAAAGGCTAGTGAGTAACGTCAGGCCTCTGGATGCAGCCCTGCCGCCTTTAACCCTCAATTAGCTTTATCACATCATTTTAAACAACATAAAGTTTATAAGTGACCCTGTTTTTATTAGTTAACACACTTGAACTGCTGCTGTGTGTTTGTTTCCACACGTGATGTTGTGTACACTCTGTGCTAACGTGCTAACATGCTAACTAGCTACGTACGTGTAATGTTGAGGTTTCTCGGGCTGAACGTTCATCACCGTGGCGGGAGATGTGGACCCTCCAGCCGGGGAGGAAGAAGAGGAAGAGGAGGGTCCTCCGGTGGTCGTGACTACCGAACACGGCGGGTGTGTTTTGGACATTTTAAACCGTTTTTAAGTCCGACAACAAGAAGCTTGTTTTTAGCTTTACTAGCTAGCTACTCGTAGTAGCTTTGAAATCCGCATTCTACGAGGATTTGCGCATGCGCGAGGTAGCAGGAAAGCGTAGGAAAAATAGAGCGTGGAATTATAGGAAATGGAGTTTAGTCATTTACAAACCTTAAAGGCTCTTATTTTCAGTCAATTTACATGGTGCAAATAAAAACGAACGTTATTGATGTCTTATATTTATTTTGACCCCTTGATATTTTATTTTGGGGTTTTGTGTCTTTATTTTAGGTTATAATGTTATATTTAAATGTATTTGTTTTAAATGTGTGTGCTCGTTTTTTATAAAAAGCTGCTTTTGATGATGTACTACTTGTCAGATATGTTTGGAGATTTTCTAATATGATAAAAAAGGAAATAAATAAATGTGTAACTCAACTTTTTTTCTTCACTTTATTGTTTGTACCCATGGACAATAGAAAACAATGACAAAAAAGATGACAAATAAGGAACAAAACAGCCAAACGTACATAAAAGTACATTATTTTCAAAATACACCTTCCAGTCCAGTGTGTGGCGCTAAGCTAACCATCAACAAACACCAAAGAAGAAGAAAAACAACCAATGAGCGTTTAATATTTATAAGCATGACGTCATGACACAGTATATAACCTAGGCTCTCAACCCCCATTATCACAATTCGTTCTTCCCACGGAGACAGAAACACTCACGGATATATCTTCACTTAAAGCGACTCCCTAAAGGTAATATATATACATAACATAGAAGACGTTATTTATTACATTGTTAATAATGTGAGGTTTGTGCGGTTTTATCTGGGTTTATTCAAGGTGTTGTTGTTTTAAAAATGCTAACATGGCGGGCTGCTAACGTTAGCTCTAAAAACTGAACAATGGAATATTTAACCGTTGACGTTTCTGGTTAAAAGTCGCAGTTGGCTCGTTCAGTTGGCTATTACAAATGTTAACAAGAGGGACGATTTAAGAATTGATGTTGGTTGTTCACATCGAAATATGGGCAACAGTGAGCTATAAGCTAATTATGTTTAAGCTAATGTTGTTGAATTGAGCTAATGTCGTCTGAGGGTGAAAACGGTTAAAATGGCGAAGAGGGAAAAGGCGAAAGCTCTTTGGATCGACTAGTACAGAAACTGGAGTGCTTCAACGCGACTGTAGCTGATCCCCATGGTCGCTGTGGGCCTCTGAATTCGAAAAATGTATTGTACAAATGTTTAATGGCGCCAATTGTGTAGTATAAACGTGATTCTTCTCCCAGAAATCCACTATTATTGTGCCCTTTTTAGACCTTGTAGCTTAAATTAAACCAGACTCCTCCCAGTGAAACCTGGGGGGAGGGGAGCTGTCTCAGCTTGGATGCTAGGCTAGCTTAGCTTCCAATCAAAACAGGATAGACGAGGTTTGTTCTGCAATGCCAAGTGCTGCATTTTACCCTTTTTTTGGTATCATATAAAAGCCAATATTGAATAGAAATTATTGCTTTGTGAGAATATTCTAATTTATTCTGTATATTTGAAAATGTTTAGCTACTCCTCTGTATATTTTTAATTTATTTACTGAGGATGTTTACGGATTTATATATTGTTACATGTTTGTTTTATTTGTATTGTATAAGTAATTACTGCCAAAATGCTGCTCTGAACAATTAAGTTCCCAACATGGGATTAATAAAGGTATCTTATCATTCTAAATAAAGAAAATACAAATAATATTTAAATATCACGTGAAAACAAATACATATATATATATATATATATATATATATATATATAAAAAAAATATGACACAAATGTTAAATAATATACAAGTTGTGTGCTGAGAGATTTAGTCTCATAACTGATATTTAAATGTATGTATATTTGTAACTAACTTGGTTTTTAATTCATGTCTCTTTTCTTTGTGTTTTTAGTAATACGAAATGGCCCGTACCAAGCAGACCGCCCGTAAATCCACTGGAGGAAAAGCTCCCAGGAAGCAGCTCGCCACCAAGGCTGCGAGGAAGAGCGCCCCGTCTACAGGAGGCGTGAAGAAGCCCCATCGTTACAGGTATGTAATACATGAGGGAAACAACTAAATACACACAGACTTCTGCGATAAGTCCCTCTACTGCATCTGGTGCTATGATAATTAGGGTGGAAGTCTAAGCTCCAACCCCCAGAATTCATTCTATTAGTCAAGATAACTCTCCTGGTGAATTTGTTCCTCAATCTGACATCATGGGGCTTAAAATAAATGAATTCGAAAATGTACCTCTCACGAAGGACCACCCTAAAATGTTAAAATACAAATCAAGATGGTAATTTTAGCCGGAGGTCATCAGTCTGTCTTCACTGATAGACTCCAGCTTTGGGAATTAACTTAGTTTTTCAGACGCACATATTATACTTTCCCCTCCGCTACATGTATAGTTTCTACACATAAATATTCATGATACGGTGTAATGAAGTACTGTACTACTTGTATACACAGTATTTCAAGGGTAATTGGTTCCACATTGACAAACTACACTGTTAAACATATTAATAAATACTGCTAAAATATCCATTCTGCATACCAAGTACTTTTACATTTGATACTGGAAGTACATTTAGCCGGTGATGCAATGACTGTGTACTTCTGAAATGTTGTGCATTGTGAAGAACGGCTACTTTTTGTACCATTTGAAGCTTTTACTTATAGCTTTGTGAAGCACCTTGAGATGACGTTGTCTTGAAAGTGTGCTATATAAATCAAATTTATTATTACTTTAACTCGAGTAACATTTGGCATCACGACTGACTTGTAGAGAGCCTTTTTTTAAGTGTTTGTACCCGAGTAAATGACCCGAGTACTTCTTCCAACAGCAGTCTTATAACATAGTGGACGTTAGCAAGAGTTAAATGTAATGTGTGTTTGTTTCAGGCCCGGTACCGTGGCTCTGAGGGAGATCCGTCGTTACCAGAAGTCGACTGAGCTGCTGATCCGAAAGCTTCCCTTCCAGCGCCTGGTGAGAGAAATCGCTCAGGACTTCAAGACCGACCTGCGCTTCCAGAGCGCCGCCATCGGAGCTCTTCAGGTAAATAACAGCTGGAGGTTTAGACTTTGCTCTGTTGTCGTGGAGGTAGAATGATTTACTGGGCAATTGAAGTCATTGTAATCTGTTGGCAGGGCTGATTAGTTGCTCTTGTATCACAACACTAAGCGACTACTACGCTAATGTACTTATTACATCATTTACTAAAAGGGCTCACAACGTTATTTAAATGGCTTATCGTTTTAATTGTATTACCAAAATTTAGGAATAAAGCAATGTGTTTGAATCCACCATTTGTGCACTATTTTGCTACAAGGCTAGTCTCTGATCTAATTCAGTTTAAAAGCACAAAGTTACGTTTTTTGATTATTTTTAGACAATAAATTAAAAAAAAAACTGGAGACTAGGGTTGTTTAATAACTGTTTATCAAACCGCCTTGATACAAAGAATGAAGGGAAACCTCAAACAAAGCAGATAATTGCAGTGGTAAATGTTCAGCATTTGTTAGTTTGTCTTTATGACGTGCAAATTAAAGTCAGTATTTCATATAGAGAGGCGAAGTCTACTTCCGACCCATGGGACCTTATTTTGGAAAAATTATGTATTGAATTGTGCCACGAATTACACACATGATGATGTGTCAATCTTAAAAAAATCATTTCCATGTCAAAAAAAGTCACAGTTTGTTGTAAAACTGTTATAATAAAATATAAGACTGAAAAATACGCAACTAGAAAGACTACAAATCTCAGAATCCCGGTCCCGCATGCTGGCTCTTAGGAACCGACTAACTCCCCTTGTGTGTATGTACAGCTCATTCTGAAAGAAAGAAGTGAAATGTGCCAACGTGACGGCCGTCTGGGTGTGTGGTGCGAGACGGGAGATGGAGTTCATTGAGCGGTTTCACACAAACTAAAGTGTAGTTTTACGAAACATTTTTTTTTTGACTTTCAAAATTATCTTTGTAAATTGACAAACATCATACGTGTAATTCGTGGCACAATTCAAACGGGATCAAAAGATAATCTTTCTCTCTCCATTGACTTCAATACATAATCTTTCTGAAATAAGGTCCCATGGAGGACTTCGTCTCTCTGAACACTCTGACCTGTATTTCTATGAAACTAATGTCTGCATTCTCTTCTAACAGGAGGCCAGCGAGGCGTACCTGGTGGGTCTCTTCGAGGACACCAACCTGTGTGCGATCCACGCCAAGAGGGTCACCATCATGCCCAAAGACATCCAGCTGGCCCGCAGGATAAGAGGCGAGCGAGCCTGAGCAGCCGAGACGCACCTGACGCTATTTATCTTAACATTATCATGGACTTTTTATTTCTTGGGTCTTTTTTTTTTTTTTTACAAGGTTGACATTTTTGTATTTAGATTCGTGACAATTCAAGAAATCATTCCACGAGTTCTCTTAGGATAGTTGGAGACGTGTTGTGCAGTAGGAGTGTTTTCACCTCTTCCATCATGTAGTCTGTTTGCCAGCTCAGAGTCATACGGCTCTCCAGCACCTAGAAACTACCGGATGCTAACTTTCATATGTCGGGCAATTGGCGTTAATTGACATATGCAGACAATAGTTTAAAAATGGCTTGGCTGGTTTGGAGAGGATAAAAAAAATGGCAGAACGTGGTTTGTTTTTGGGTCACTTTTAAGGGACTCAAATGCCACGCTTGGATTCAAAATGTGTCGGAAATGGATCCAGAATACGCCCAGCAACCTCAAATTGTCCCAATCGGCCGACTGTTTTGCCATCGTCTGCATAAGCAAGTTATTATCTGGCATGTTCGATGTGCTGGTGACCCGTTCTGTACATTTCTAACATGACTTCTTCACCATTTCCTGGTTCACTGCTGGCATTTAGACTAATGGATCATTTCTGCGTTTCACCGCCATCTCTCGGTCCTCTGTGGGCTTCAGGCTCCCGCTCTGAGGCCGGGGGAACATCTTCTTCCATGGGGGGGGGTTCAGGGTCTCTCCATCAAACACCAGTGTGTCCCTATGTGAGCACGACAGACCCTCCCCCCCCCCCCCCTTCTTCTTCTCTGGACTGCTTTTTAAGTGTTTTTCCAACATCAAATCTCGGCAGCTACATTTAATACTATTTATGAAAGTGTTGTCGCATGTCTTTCTATTAAAGGTCTTTATGAGTAGAACGCCTGGTGTTGTGTGGGTTTCAGTCAATAAGAAGTGTGTTTTTATACATATTACTTTTATTTACAACATGTTAAATATGAGGTAGGAGCTGTCATACAAACCACTCGGTGTGTTTGAAACCAGTCGCTGGAGGGGAAAGAAATGTGGGATTTTAGTCTCGAATTCGAAAAGAAAATACTTTTTTTTTTAAAGGCTTAATTGTAATTTGCACATTAGCTACAGTGTAGATATGTGATAAACTTAGGGTCCCCTTTTATATCCGAGTCGACTGACAAACCCTAATTCAATGCATTAACATCAAGTGATATATTGGGGTATATTGAATACATAACCGTAAGGGCACAGGGAAACTACAACATTCCAAATACTTGATGATTAACTTCAGGAAGTTAATGATAAATGACATTTCTGTGAATAATATGCCACATATTCTTAGTTTTATAATACAATTATCTGTTAAATATTCAATCCTTAAATAGGCTTTGACTTTGAGACACATTAGGAGTTGCAGGAGGCCGTTTATAACACAGATAATTATCTCAAAAGTTGCCAATAATGCGCATCTTTCCTCAGTTAATGCACTAGTGTTTATCTGCATATTTGTCGTAATGAAGGAGAAGAATAGGTATAACGCAGATACATAATTGTATTTAAAGTTTAGCTTATTTTTTACTTAAAACGTCTTGTTAAGGTAGTCACTGTTTTGGTTATGGTACATTTGATCAGTTATCTAAAATATCCATAAATGTCACATAATAAAAAAGGTCCCTGAAGTGGAGCTAAAGCACACTCACCTATTCGGCACACCATGTCCTCACACTCCCTGATGCTCTGGGCCCTGAACGCCACGCAGCAGAAGCCCGTCGACAGGGGGGTTTCTGGGGAGTCTCTGTGGAAACAGCCAATCAGAGGTTCTGGTTTAACACAGGCTCAGCCAATCACAACACATGTCTCTGGGATGTGAAGAGATGTTAAAGTACACACATCCTTTCCTCAAGTAGAAGTACAGATACTCGTGTTTAAAAATACTCTGGTGAAAGTAGAAGTACTGACTAAACTTCTTTACTCAAGTCAAAGTAAAGAGGCTTTGAAATGTACTTCAGTAAAAAGTACCCATAACTAGCAGCTGTTTTAAAGAGTACCTGACCTCCCTTTATATTAATAGAACAATAATGTCATTGTTAGCTAATGAATGTTTCCTTGCTGAACAACGGCAACATGACAACGTTTTCATTGGTCCCTCTTCTTTAGAGAAGACCAGGAAATGATGGATACACGGATCGTGTTCAAATCAATAGGCACGCAATGACTCTAAATAATAATGATCACGCCACCAAACACACATTCAAACTAAAGGAACCAGCCTGTTTGGAAAATGTGAGAAGTAGAAAGTACAGGTATTTGGGTTCAACATGTAAGAAGTAGAAAGTACAGGTATTTGGGTTCAACATGTAAGAAGTAGAAAGTACAGGTATTTGGGTTCAACATGTAAGAAGTAGAAAGTACAGGTATTTGGGTTCAACATGTAAGAAGTAGAAAGTACAGGTATTTGGGTTCAACATGTGAGAAGTAGAAAGTACAGGTATTAGTGTTCAACATGTAAGAAGTAGAAAGAACAGGTATTTGGGTTCAACATGTAAGAAGTAGAAAGTACAGGTATTTGTGTTCAACATGTAAGAAGTAGAAAGTACAGGTATTTGTGTTCAACATGTAAGAAGTAGAAAGTCGTCAGAAAAATAAGTAGTGGAGTAAAGTACTGATACCAGAGAAATGTACTTAAGTACAGTAACAAAGTATTTGTACTCCACTACTTCCCACCTCTGCTGATGTGAAGTTAATGTTAAATGTGAAACTCACGCCACGCAGAAAGCGAATACGGTGTAGTCCGGCTGACCGTATCTGCCCACACAGGAGATCTCTGGATAGTGATGCTCTAACAGCTCCTGATGAAACATAAACGTGGGTTTAATGAACATTTAAATACAAAAAAAAAAAGTGTAATAAACGTGCCACTTAGTGTATGCACAAATATGTAATTAACCACAGCTGGAAGGTGCTGGAAAACCTTGAAAGTGCTTGAATTTGACCTGCGTCCACTCACCTGTTTACTGTCTCTGTCCGTGCACGTCAGGTGTGTTTCCTTCAGGTCTAAGAGCACTTCCTGTGGGATTCATCTCACTTTAATGAGCACGAGTTGATGTTGAAATGCTTTATGAATCAGCAGTTGTCTCACCTTGCTCTGCTGGTCTTTCTGCAGCACTTGTGTGATGGCGTGCTGCAGGACCTCCTTCCCCCCGTGCTACGGGAACAAAGTAGAAGTTAGAATATACAATAGACTGCATGAGACATTACATGTGTGTTCAATCAGGATTGTTTACCATGCCGATGTTGGCTTTTCCCAAGAACTGCACAATGTACACAATCCTGTTGAAGAGAGGAGTGCAAAACAGTTTCTTAAAGGGACAGTACACCATAAAATCAAATCACTAATTTACATGTTCATTAAAACTCAAAGAGGTTTAGTTAGAGAAAGTCTGCGAGCAGTAGTTTAATCAACATCTGTATTTAGCCAACAACTGACTCTCCAAAAAGTCGAGTAGGGGGTGCATTTAAGGATAGACAAGTACAAGTGTGAAGATGCTTGAAGTAGAAACGTCTCATGTTATAATTTTTTTAAATATGATATAATAATAGTTTGTGTAATATTTTTAGCATGGCAGTTTTATGGTTGATAAAACGTCAACATTGAACTAGAGAAGGTAGAGGAGAAGGATAGTCTATCGTTTGGGGAAAGATATTTCTCCAATTTACTTTGGTCATTTAATTCATTCATTAATACTTGTTTCTTATTTAAGATCTTTCAGCAGATCATGCCCTAGGTCACATGTGTCAAACTCAAGGCCCGGGGGCCAAATCAGGCCCGTGGTGGATTTACTTTCGGCCCGCAGGATAATTTCTAATCACTATTAGATCTGGCCCTCCGGTATATTGCACGCACACCTTCACTCCATCCTGAGGGTCTCCTCAGCTCAGAGCCTGACCCCAAACATTGATGACCTTGCACCCAAGATGAGATGCCAAGTATCTGAACTAGCATCACAGAGCAGCACACTGAGTTTACATGTTTCCTTCTGCACTTTTTCTCTCACGACAACAGGACATGTTTGGTTTGTTCTTTGAGGGAAATAGTTTTGTTGAAGCTGTTGTTGGCCTGTGGAAAAATGTAACCATAAGAAATGACTCCAGAAAAGCTGCGGATAGAGACATAAGAAATGAATGCAACTGATTATTTAATGTTTAATGTTGTTTTTATAGGCAATAATTTAAGCTTTGTTAGTTCCAGGTTTAATATGTGCAATATGTTCATTTCAATAAGTTTTGCAATAAACATTAAACCAGTCCGGCCCTCGACTAGCACCCATTTTTTATTTTGGCCCACTGTGTATTTGAGTTCGACCCCCCTGCCCTAGGTGTATGGTAAGAAAAATAAGTTTTCACCAAACAGTTAGAACCAGGGCAGCGTGGAAGCTAAGAGGAGCCTAACTTACCGAACTACCAGAGACAGAGAAGGCTATGAAAGCTGGTAGTCTAAACGTTTAGTATTGCTTCAAATGTAATATACCAATGCATTTTAACTTCATGGAAACATTTTTAGCTGAGACGAAAGTGAAAAGAACATCCGCCCGAATAGGGACTTGAACCCTAGACCCTCAGATTAAAAGTCTGATGCTCTACCGACTGAGCTATCCGGGCTCTGCTGGAGACACATGCATAAAAAACATAAAACAGGAAAGATTTAATTAACTTTGCTTGACATTTGTTACATTGCCGTTACACTAACACAACATACAACTGTCCAGTTCTTTCTGTGTGGAGAAGGAGAGAGCTTTGAAAACAGTAGTAGTAAACTAGTTAGCCGTATGCTAATTTAGGCTATGCTAACTCATCCAGCTCTAAGTTGAACTTTTTTGTATTTTAATTGTATTTATTCGTATATATCTATGTTTATTTGAATCCTGGCGCACTTGCATCCCCTCTTTGAGACACTGGGAGGTTCTCCGTCTGTAACGCTGGCTTCCTGTTGGGGGTAGGGTTCATTTTAAGATGCTATTCATTACTTTTAAGAGAAAAGGTATTTACATGTAAGCCTCCCCTTTTATGTAAACTCTTTAGGCTCCAAGGTGAACGTTTGAGTATCTATGTTCTATAACCCGGTCCACTTGCCTCCCGTCTTTGAGGCACTGCGAGGGGTTCTGCTCCTCTGGTTCTGTGTGTGGTTCTGTCTGAGGTCCCAGCTGCAGAGAAGGGTTCTCCGTCTTCAGGTTCCTCAGGAGTTTGACGAGGGGCCGAAACACCGTCCCGTCGCCGGCCCTCCAGCGCAGAACCCCGATGGAGAGAGGGAGACCCTTCAGACGGGACAGAACCACGCCCGCCTGGGAAACACAAGTTATTCAAAACAGACATTTTATAAACATCCATAACATCGGTTTGCAACGTAAATCATTTATTTACCGAATGATTTAAAGGGCTGTAAGAACATTTTGAGGTTTAAGAGAATGTATAAAGAAAGTGTAATTAGACATTATTAGTCTTAGAAATATAAAGGAGAAGAGGTACAACTGGTTTCTAATGTAAACACAGAGCAACAGGTTTTTTAAAGTGTATTTGTTGAGGGTGTGACGAGCGAGTGTTCTGAACCGTTAATCAAAAAGACAACACAGAATGTGAGCTGAGAGGAAAACCTACTCTCCCATCAGGCTGCAGGTAACCACATCACACAGCAGCACACTGCCCTGTTCTTTAAAGGTCCCCTGTTATACTGTTTCTCATCAATATGGCCCAATCCCAAACCGCCCCCTACACCCTACCCCTACACACTACCCCTCCGTTTGCGCGTTCGCGCGGAGGGTCCGCCACATTAAGTGCTGTTCCAAACCAACAAGTGTGGAGCGGGTTGGAGGGGGAGTGGGCTATCAAGCCCTCAAACAGCGAAATCACCTGCTGCCCTACCTGACCGGACTCAACGCTGTGTGTGTCCGTCAGGAAACACGCTGTTTACAAGTAGTTCCAGCAAACATCCAGTGATAAACTGCGATGTTAACAACCTCATGATAACCTCATATTTTTTTAACTTAGGATCATACCTGTGTTTAGTCTAGAAAAAGGTAAATGTGTGCATTTTATTATAAAGTTGTGTATATTTACAGACTGTTGCAAAAACTAAGAAGCTTATAAACATCAGGTTTAAAACTAAAAGAGCTTTACAAAAAAGTAACACAATGAAAGATGTTTGGAGTTTTATTTGAGTTATTAATTTACATTTTTTGTCTAAGAGATGCTGATTTGAAACCGTTGTTACATACAGTTACGGCATTTCCTGTTTCTGCCGGAGAGAGGGGAGTTTGTCCCAAAGCTTGCCGCTGTGTTTACTCCCTCCATCTGACAGGAGGGAGCCTCGTTGAGCTGCGAGTGTGGCTACAGACGGAGTTCACTCCGCCACGGAGGGGTAGGGTCGAGGGAGTGGTTTGGGATTGGGCCAGAATCACAGGTCTCAGATATATCCAGAGCCTGTCTCTGATTGGCTGAAACACCACACAGATCATTGCAGCATTACCCATAATCCCCTCTGTTTCAGCCCTGTTTCCAAAGTGCTGATTCTCTGTCTGTTACTTTAGATGAAAATAAGGAGCCCCTCCCCACGCCCCTCTGAGAGAGATTTGGTTACAAAGAACTCAATGGTGCTCTAGGAGGAGATTCAGGTGATAAGGTGGGGGGGGGTTACCTTGGTTGCTGATTGGCTAATGGTTACACAAGACAAAACATCGTTATGACATCAAGTGGCCAAAATCTGATCAGCTCATTTTCAGACAGGTTTTTATAGAAATGGATCAAAAAGAGAGAAAATCTTTGTTCCTGAAACTTTCAGAGTCTCTTTCCACAGAGGGGACACATGTTGATGAAGAAGAGACATGAAGAAGAGGGGACACATGTTGATTAAGAAGAGACATGAAGAAGAGGAGACACATGTTGATAGAAGAAGAGGACATGTAAGAAGAGAGAGGGGACACATGTTGATGAAGAAGAGACATGAAGAAGAGGGGACACATGTTGATGAAGAAGAGACATGAAGAGAGGGGACACATGTGATGAGAAGAGACATGAAGAAGAGGGGACACATGTTGATGAAGAAGAGACATGAAGAAGAGGGGACACATGTTGATGTAGAAGAGACATGAAGAAGAGGGGACACATGTTTGATGAAGAAGAGACATGAAGAAGAGGGGGACACATGTTGATGAAGAAGAGACATGAAGAAGAGGGGGACACATGTTTGATGAAGAAGAGACATGAAGAAGAGGGGACACATGGTGATGAAGAAGAGACATGAAGAAGAGAGGGACACATGTTGATGTAGAAGAGACATGAAGAAGAGGGGACACATGTTGATGAAGAAGAGACATGAAGAAGAGGGGACACATGTTGATGAAGAAGAGACATGAAGAAGAGGGGACACATGTTGATGAAGAAGAGACATGAAGAAGAGGGGACACATGTTGATGTAGAAGAGACATGGAGAAGAGGGGACACATGTTGATGAAGAAGAGACATGAAGAAGAGGGGACACATGTTGATGAAGAAGAGACATGAAGAAGAGGGGACACATGTTGATGAAGAAGAGCATGAAAGAGGGGACACATGTTGATGAAAGAGACATGAGAAGAGGGGACACATGTTGATGAAGAAGAGACATGAAGAAGAGGGGACACATGTTGATGAAGAAGAACATGAAGAAGAGGGACACATGTTGATGAAGAAGAGACATGAAGAAGAGGGGACACATGTTTGATGAAGAAGAGACATGAAGAAGAGGGACACATGTTGATGAAGAAGAGACATGAAGAAGAGGGGACACATGTTGATGAAGAAGAGACATGAAGAAGAGGGGACACATGTTGATGTATAAGAGACATGAAGAAGAGGGGACACATGTTGATGAAGAAGAGACATGAAGAAGATGGGACACATGTTGATGAAGAAAGAGGACATGAAGAAGAGGGGACACATGTTGATGAAGAAGAGACATGAAGAAGAGGGGACACATGTTTGATGTAGAAGAGACATGAAGAAGAGGGGACACATGTTGATGAAGAAGAGACATGAAGAAGAGGGGACACATGTTGATGAAGAAGAGACATGAAGAAGAGGGGACACATGTTGATGAAGAAGAGACATGAAGAAGAGGGGACACATGTTGATGAAGAAGAGACATGAAGAAGAGGGGACACATGTTGATGTAGAAGAGACATGAAGAAGAGGGGACACATGTTGATGAAGAAGAGGGGACACATGTTGATGTAGAAGAGACGTGAAGAAGAGGGGACACATGTTGATGAAGAAGAGACATGAAGAAGAGGGGACACATGTTGATGAAGAAGAGGGGACACATGTTGATGTAGAAGAGACATGAAGAAGAGGGGACACATGTTGATGAAGAAGAGGGGACACATGGTGATGTAGAAGAGACATGAAGAAGAGGGGACACATGTTGATGAAGAAGAGGGGACACATGTTGATGTAGAAGAGACATGAAGAAGAGGGGACACATGTTGATGAAGAAGAGGACATGAAGAAGAGGGGACACATGTTGATGAAGAAGAGGGGACACATGGTGATGTAGAAGAGACATGAAGAAGAGGGGACACATGTTGATGAAGAAGAGGGGACACATGTTGATGTAGAAGAGACATGAAGAAGAGGGGACACATGTTGATGTAGAAGAGACATGAAGAAGAGGGGACACATGTTGATGTAGAAGAGAGGACACATGTTGATGTAGAAGAGACATGAAGAAGAGAGGACACATGTTGATGTAGAAGAGACATGAAGAAGAGGGGACACATGTTGATGTAGAAGAGACATGAAGAAGAGAGGACACATGTTGATGTAGAAGAGACATGAAGAAGAGGGACACATGTTGATGTAGAAGAGACATGAAGAAGAGAGGACACATGTTGATGTAGAAGAGACATGAAGAAGAGAGGACACATGTTGATGTAGAAGAGACATGAAGAAGAGAGGCACATGTTTGATGTAGAAGAGACATGAAGAAGAGGGGACACATGTTGATGTAGAAGAGCATGAAGAAGAGAGGACACATGTTGATGTAGAAGAGACATGAAGAAGAGAGGACACATGTTGATGTAGAAGAGACATGAAGAAGAGGGGACACATGTTGATGTAGAAGAGACATGAAGAAGAGAGGACACATGTTGATGTAGAAGAGACATGAAGAAGAGGACACATGTTGATGTAGAAGAGACATGAAGAAGAGGGGACACATGTTGATGTAGAAGAGACATGAAGAAGAGGGGACACATGTTGATGTAGAAGAGACATGAAGAAGAGGGGACACATGTTGATGTAGAAGAGACATGAAGAAGAGGGGACACATGGTGATGTAGAAGAGACATGAAGAAGAGGGGACACATGTTGATGTAGAAGAGACACAAGGAAATTGATGTAGAAGAGACATGAAGAAGAGGGGACACATGTTGATGTAGAAGAGACATGAAGAAGAGGGGACACATGTTGATGTAGAAGAGACATGAAGAAGAGAGGACACATGTTGATGTAGAAGAGACATGAAGAAGAGGAGGACACATGTTGATGTAGAAGAGACATGAAGAAGAGGGGACACATGTTGATGTAGAAGAGACATGAGAAGAGGGGACACATGTTGATGTAGAAGAGACATGAAGAAGAGGGGACACATGTTGATGTAGAAGAGACATGAAGATGGAGGGGACACATGTTGATGTAGAAGAGACATGATAGAAGAGGGGACACATTTGATGAAGAAGAGGGGACACATGGTGATGTAGAAGAGACATGAAGAAGAGGGGGACACATGTTATGAAGAAGAGACATGAAGAAGAGGGGACACATGTTGATGAAGAAGAGACATGAAGAAGAGGGGAACACATGTTGATGAAGAAGAGACTGAAGAAGAGGGGACACATGTTATGAGAAGAGACATAAGAAGAGTGGACACATTTGGATGAAGAAGAGACATGAAGAAGAGGGGACACAGGTTGATGTAGAAGAGACATGAAGAAGAGGGGACACATGTTGATGAAGAAGAGACATGAAGAAGAGGGGACACATGTTGATGAAGAAGAGACATGAAGAAGAGGGGACACATGTTGATGAAGAAGAGACATGAAGAAGAGGGGACCAAGGTTGATGAAGAAGAGACATGAAGAAGAGGGGACACATGTTGATGTAAGAAGAGACATGAAGAAGAGGGGACACATGTTGATGAGAAGAGACATGAAGAAGAGGGGACACATGTTGATGAAGAAGAGACATGAAGAAGAGGGGACACATGTTGATGAAAGAAGAGACATGAAGAAGAGGGGACACATGTTGATGAAGAAGAGAGGGGACACATGTTGATGAAGAAGAGACATGAAGAAGAGGGGACACATGTTGATGAAGAGAAGAGACATGAAGAAGAGGGGACACATGTTGATGAAGAAGAGACATGAAGAAGAGGGGACACATGTTGATGAAGAAGAGACATGAAGAAGAGGGGACACATGTTGATGAAGAAGAGACATGAGAAGAGGGGACACATGTTGATGAAGAAGAGACATGAAGAAGAGGGGACACATGGGAACATTTATGATGAAGAAGAGACATGAAGAAGAGGGGACACATGTTGATGAAGAAGAGACATGAAGAAGAGGGGACACATGTTGATGAAGAAGAGACATGAAGAAGAGGGGACACATGTTGATGAAGAAGAGACATGAAGAAGAGGGGACACATGTTGATGTAGAAGAGACATTGAGAAGAGGGGACACATGTTGATGAAGAAGAGACATGAAGAAGAGGGGACACATGTTGATGTAGAAGAGACATGAAGAAGAGGGGACACATGTTGATGAAGAAGAGACATGAAGAAGAGGGGACACATGTTGATGTAGAAGAGACATGAAGAAGAGGGGACACATGTTGATGAAGAAGAGACATGAAGAAGAGGGGGACACATGTTGATGAAGAAGAGACATGAGAAGAAGAGGGGACACATGTTGAATGAAAGAAAGAGACATGAAGAAGAGGGGACACATGTTGATGAAGAAGAGACATGAAGAAGAGGGGACACATGTTGATGTAGAAGAGACATGAAGAAGAGGGGACACATGTTGATGAAGAAGAGGGGACACATGTTGATGTAGAAGAGACGTGAAGAAGAGGGGACACATGTTGATGAAGAAGAGACATGAAGAAGAGGGGACACATGTTGATGAAGAAGAGGGGACACATGTTGATGTAGAAGAGACATGAAGAAGAGGGGACACATGTTGATGAAGAAGAGGGGACACATGGTGATGTAGAAGAGACATGAAGAAGAGGGGACACATGTTGATGAAGAAGAGGGGACACATGTTGATGTAGAAGAGACATGAAGAAGAGGGGACACATGTTGATGAAGAAGAGACATGAAGAAGAGGGGACACATGTTGATGAAGAAGAGGGGACACATGGTGATGTAGAAGAGACATGAAGAAGAGGGGACACATGTTGATGAAGAAGAGGGGACACATGTTGATGTAGAAGAGACATGAAGAAGAGGGGACACATGTTGATGTAGAAGAGACATGAAGAAGAGGGGACACATGTTGATGTAGATAGAGAGGACACATGTTGATGTAGAAGAGACATGAAGAAGAGAGGACACATGTTGATGTAGAAGAGACATGAAGAAGAGGGGACACATGTTGATGTAGAAGAGACATGAAGAAGAGAGGACACATGTTGATGTAGAAGAGACATGAAGAAGAGGGGACACATGTTGATGTAGAAGAGACATGAAGAAGAGAGGACACATGTTGATGTAGAAGAGACATGAAGAAGAGAGGACACATGTTGATGTAGAAGAGACATGAAGAAGAGGGGACACATGTTGATGTAAGAAGAGACATGAAGAAGAGGGGACACATGTTGATGTAGAAGAGACATGAAGAAGAGAGGACACATGTTGATGTAGAAGAGACATGAAGAAGAGAGGACACATGTTGATGTAGAAGAGACATGAAGAAGAGGGGACACATGTTGATGTAGAAGAGACATGAAGAAGAGAGGACACATGTTGATGTAGAAGAGACATGAAGAAGAGAGGACACATGTTGATGTAGAAGAGACATGAAGAAGAGGGGACACATGTTGATGTAGAAGAGACATGAAGAAGAGGGGACACATGTTGATGTAGAAGAGACATGAAGAAGAGGGGACACATGTTGATGTAGAAGAGACATGAAGAAGAGGGGACACATGGTGATGTAGAAGAGACATGAAGAAGAGGGGACACATGTTGATGTAGAAGAGACACGAAGAAGAGGGGACACATGGTGATGTAGAAGAGACATGAAGAAGAGGGGACACATGTTGATGTAGAAGAGACATGAAGAAGAGGGGACACATGTTGATGTAGAAGAGACATGAAGAAGAGGGGACACATGTTGATGTAGAAGAGACATGAAGAAGAGAGGACACATGTTGATGTAGAAGAGACATGAAGAAGAGAGGACACATGTTGATGTAGAAGAGACATGAAGAAGAGGGGACACATGTTGATGTAGAAGAGACATGAAGAAGAGGGGACACATGTTGATGTAGAAGAGACATGAAGAAGAGGGGACACATGTTGATGTAGAAGAGACATGAAGAAGAGGGGACACATGTTGATGTAGAAGAGACATGAAGAAGAGGGGACACATGTTGATGAAGAAGAGGGGACACATGGTGATGTAGAAGAGACATGAAGAAGAGGGGACACATGTTGATGTAGAAGAGACATGAAGAAGAGGGGACACATGTTGATGAAGAAGAGGGGACACATGTTGATGTAGAAGAGACATGAAGAAGAGGGGACACATGGTGATGTAGAAGAGACATGAAGAAGAGGGGACACATGTTGATGAAGAAGAGGGGACACATGTTGATGTAGAAGAGACATGAAGAAGAGGGGACACATGGTGATGTAGAAGAGACATGAAGAAGAGGGGACACATGTTGATGTAGAAGAGACATGAAGAAGAGGGGACACATGTTGATGTAGAAGAGACATGAAGAAGAGGGGACACATGTTGATGTAGAAGAGACATGAAGAAGAGGGGACACATGTTGATGAAGAAGAGACATGAAGAAGAGGGGACACATGTTGATGAAGAAGAGACATGAAGAAGAGATTTTACATAATAGGTCCCCTTTATTAAATATAAGCTGAGTTTATTTGCACCTGTCCGTTCTTTGAGTTCCTCAGCGAGGTCCCGTTGATCTCGTCTATAATGTCTCCAGGACGGATGAAGTTGTCGGCGTGCGCCTGACCGCCCGGCGTCAGATCGAGGACGAAGACGCGTCCGCTCAGATACCTGAGGGACGGAGACAACGAGGATAAATATAATATCATATTTAATGGAAATAAAGGTATTTGAAAAGAGAGGGAAATCCAAACCTGAGCACGAGGCCGACCTCCCGACACGGCACCACTTCATACTTCTCACACACCTGGACACACACAATGAAGACATTCTGATGAATCCAAATGTTGATATTTCACGATATGATGTCCTATTATTTTTTGTACCACTATTTTATATGTCAAAAAGTCCTGATCATGAAGCCATATCTCAGTGTAAAGCTCACACAGTAATCAGTCACTTAAAACCACATGTCTATTGATAGAGAGCACAGAAACTGCTTTATATATTACAGAAACCACAACAATAATAAAGTGGTATACTAGAATATTCTGCATTATGTTCTGGTGACAAACAACTCATATCAAAAACCTACTTCTATCAGATCACCGCAGGTTTGTGAGTTTATAACGAGATTTCCAGGCTACTAAAATTCACATTTTTAAAGGTTTGCATCCCTGCTATTTCCTATTTCACACCCCCTCCCCTCATTCGACACATTAAAGGGGGTACATTAGCACAACAGACCCATTTTGAAGGGTCTGATTCATAGACTACATGTCCACTAAAACATTAAGAGTTATATTTTTGTGATTCTGGAAAAATAACCTGTGTTTTCTTACCGGTAGGATCCAGCTCTCGTCCAGAAAACTGCAGTTCTGTGAGAAGAGATCAGAGCGTTAATGAATACAAAGACATGTGAGCAGTGCTTGAATTGGGCCGGTGAGTACCGGCCCAATTCAAGCACTGCATGTGAGAGAGGTGTAGTTTTGACCAAATGACAGTATAGCGATGTGGTGTTCAGTGTTTGACAGCAATGAGGTACATTTAGGGGCGGCAGTGGTTCAGTCTGGAGAGGATTGGACTTTGGACCGAAGGGTCGCCGGTTCACGTCCCGATTGGAGAAGAATACTGAGTGTGGACTGGTACTGGAGAGGGCCCAGTTCACCTCCTGGGCCACTTGCCCTAATCAAGTGCCCTTGAGCAAGGCACCTAACCCCCAACTGCTCACTGGCGCGGGCTAGACTGGCTGCCTCCGCTCTGACCTCTCAACTGCATGTGTGTGTGTGTATATTTGTATGTGCATGATGTAAAAAGTGTGTACTGTATAAAAATGCATGTGTGTGTAACGACAGAGTGGAAACTGAATTTCAGTTTTTAAAATAAAGGTCCATCTTCTTATTCTATCTTCTTCTTCATTTACTAAATTACAACTTTGACGTACTTGTATTTGACTTACTAGAAAATATGTATTAGTCATATTAAAAATACTAAATATGAATTAACAAACAGTTTCTCTTCTTTCCTCTGCACCACACCTCTTTGTGTTCATGCTCATCTCTTCCAAGAAAGATTGTTCATCTTTTTAAAATAAAATGTTCATATTTTTATTCTATTTATTCTATATTAATGTTTCTTATCCACATTTGTATTTCTTTTCAAAGCTGCATAATATTGTCTTTTTTTGACAACCTCCTAACCTAACCACCACTTCTGGGTATGTTTATCAATAATAACAACAATAACAATAATAAATTGTATTTCTATAGCGCTTTTCATAGACTCAAAGACGCGTTAATATAAGAGGAGGGTTAGGATGGAGTGCAAAGAGAACAAGGGAAGAGTGTGAGAGAGTCAGAGGGTGTTTCTCAATGTCGAGGAAGGATGCTCCAGAGCCACTATTTCAAGGATGCTACGTCATCGAGTCCCGCCGAAGGACTGTTCCAATGTCCAGCATGCTTGGAATCCTACCGAGGTCGGCGTCCTTCGTTGCGGGAATTTTCGAGGCTGCCGTCTTAAAATCCCCACAATGCTTTGCGCACGGCGGGGCCTCTCTGACGCACACCTGCACACTTGCTAGCCTGTTCCATTCTTCGTTCTCCGAATGCCAGGAAGGATTCTTGCCTAGCCTCTGAAGGACCTGACTCGGAAGACATGTCCTACCAAGGAAGCGTCCTCGACATTGAGAAACACCCAGAGTCGCGGAGATCTAAAAAAGAACAAGTAGGAAAAGACACCGTTGCAGTTTTTTTTAAATGGCTATAAATAAAGTTTCTAAACCCACCTCCATGTCCAGTTTGAAGTCCATGTTTGCGAGGACGAGCAGCAGAGACATGAACGGCTCTGCAGGAGGAGAACAGAGCTGAGGTTTGAACGTGTCCACACACACTTCCTCAGATCTACAGGAAGCAGAGTCAAAAGCCTCACCTAAAAACGCCTCGTTCCTGAGGATGGACACTTCCGGACTGTACCACTGCAGGGGGGGGGGGGGGCATTAATCTCTGCATATATGTGCAGATAAATTAATATAACATTTGTTTTGGTGCATGTCTCCTAGACTCAGTGTGTGCAGCATTTATTTCTGAATATAATGTTTAAAATAAAGTGTATTATCCATGTCCCTGACCTCCAGGACCCAGTGTGTAAGCAGCATTAATATCTGAATATATTGTATTATATGAGGTGTTTTTGGTGCATGTCTCTGACCTCCAGGACTCAGTGTGTAAGCAGCATTAACATCTGAGTATATTGTATTATATGAGGTGTTTTTGGTGCATGTCTCTGACCTCCAGGACTCAGTGTGTAAGAAGCATTAATATCTGAATATATTGTATTATATGAGGTGTTTTTGGTGCATGTCTCTGACCTCCAGGACTCAGTGTGTAAGCAGCATTAATATCTGAATATATTGTATTATATGAGGTGTTTTTGGTGCATGTCTCTGACCTCCAGGACTCAGTGTGTAAGCAGCATTAATATCTGAATATATTGTATTATATGAGGTGTTTTTGGTGCATGTCTCTGACCTCCAGGACCCGGGGGGTGTGCAGCAGGTGTGTGAGCAGCTGAGGGAGGACCCTGCGATGCAGCGCGAGGCGGAGCAGGAAGCGTCCTCGTCCCTGAGCCGAGAGCAGCTTCCTGCAGACTCTGGTCTGCTCCAGGACCAGGGAGAGGGAGGAGAGTCTGAGCACAGAGACATGGCGTTACAGAGGATTCAATCAACGGTTCACACGAGAGAAAGGAAAAGAAACGAGGTGTTTTTGCTCCTTTTTGGTCAGAATCAGAATCAGAATCAGAATTGGAATTGGATGACCATTTTAGTTTTCACTTCATATCATTGCATGAAATGATGAGCTGTTCTGTTTTGTTTTATGTATGTTTATGTTTGGTTTGTGTGTGTGAGGACCCAGGAAGAACAGCCAATGCTAATGCTAGTGCTAATGGGGATCCTAATAAAGAATCAGAATCAGAATGGAGTTTATGGCCGGGTACGTTTACTCATACAAGGAATTATCTTTGGTGTCTGTTGGTGCAGACTTAAGCAACACAAGGAAATACGTGTAGAAGTTGTCGGAGAAGGAGAACTCCAATACAGATCATTATGCTGTTCCCTGCCAACTTCACTACGATCTTTCTCCTATAACTACGATTTACTTTCAAGCAAATTATCATTATCATTTTATATTACTTTTTGCTTTTCAGAAAGGTGTTGAGTTTAATGTTTTTACATAACATCTTATGCACAGTATATTCACAGTGTATTTTCATATCTGTTTTAAAGTTACCTGCCGCAGGCGTCTTTGTGGTTCAGCTGCTCGAAGCAGTGCCAGTAGTCTCTGTGCACGAGGCTGAGCACCGGCTCTGAAGAGGAGAAGGAAACCAACCAAAATATATAGAATTCAATATCAAATAAACCCCTCAAATATTGTGTATTTGTTCTACAATAATACTAAAGCAGGTGGTGTTTTGTTTTGGTCTGTTGTGTTTTTTTACAAAGACTAAACATGAAGCATTAACTGTTATATTAAAACAGATTTAAATTGAAATGTGATTATTTTTATTTAACATTTTAATAACCTTAACCCGTACTTTAAATACATATGTGTTATTCTGTAATGAAATAAACGGACGTCCCAACACAGGGAAGCCAGGTATTCCCCACTTCTATGTATATATTATAATATTTCCAGGTCTATTTGGGGGGTACTCACGCTGCAGCCCCTTCCTCAGCAGCAGCTCCAGCAGCTCACAGCAGGAGGCCAGGTGGGGGCTGCTGTCCGTCACCAGCCCCCCCTCTGACTGAAGGCTCAACACACACACTGTGGGGAAAAACAACAACACACACACTCTGTCATCATCCTGCAGGGAAACACACCTCCTCCTGCAACCTGTTCACATTCAAGATCCAACATTCAAAGGTTGTGTCATCATGTGCTCATCAGCTACAGTGTGAAACTCTTCTGACCTGAGATCCTCCATCAATGCAACATATATCATAAAACACAAAAATACAAATAAAAGGTGGTGCAAGAAGTCTATATACATGTAAATAGAATATGATATGTACAAGAAGAGAATATGAAATTACATAATGTACATTAAAACACAATGAAATGATAACTAGCCTATTTATATATGTCTGTCCACCTCTGCATGGTCCTGGTCACCTGCTACATTTAGCTTATTGTATTTATCTGACGTCTTTTCTCCTGCATTATCTGCACATTGGTCTCTCAACTAAATCCGGCACTGTTTTTATTCCTACTCTGTTTCTTCTGTCACAATTTGTCTTGTTTGTTTTCACATGTTTAATTAATTATATGATGATTGTTGGAGGAGCCTGGGACTTAACATGTACATTGCCATATCTACACTGAAGCTGTGGAAATGACAATAAAGTCTTTGAATCTTGGACATCTTGAACCTGCCTGATCACCATCGCCCTTTTCTCACACCGTGCAGAAGATATGTGGAAAAAACCGGCGAAAATACGATAAAAACGGCAGCTTTTGCATGATAACAATCCCCTATATAATCCGATAAAAGCCCTTTTGAATCATGCATTTATGAATATGCTTCCTTACCTTTCAGAGTGCCGAGCAGAGGGTCTTTAGGAGCCATGATGCTGCAGCAGCTGTCATTTAAAGAATCCCTGTAATGACGCTTCCGCGAGACATGCCGAGACACAGGGCTGAAATAAACACTGTCACTTTAAACCTCCTCAGAATAAACGCAGGATATTAAATAATCTAACACGTGACACGCCTGTGTGGAAGTATAGATGCTTATAAATCAATCAATCAACATATATATCGTTATCTGAAGTGTAATTTGGTTTTAGTGACATCTGCTGTTCCGCTGCTGAATGTAAACACGGTCACGCTGCATTCGAAACGGAAGTCGTGATCTACGGAAGCCCAAAAGGCCATGGTTTTAAAATGATATATATAACCCCCGTTTTCTCCTTATATTTGATATATTTGTTATTGTATTTAAGTAATACATTTACATTTAAAATAAATACAAAGTAGATGATGATGTACAGTAGTTTATAAAGTCACCGTGTAGCGTAAAACTCATTAGAGTAAAGAGTTTCTGTGTGTCAGCGAGTTTGTAAACGGATTGAATGTAAAGTGGACTGATGGGGTGTGTGTGTGTGTGTGTGTGTGTGTGTGTGTGTGTTATAAATTACTGAAATAATATATTAGGTCATATCAAATCATATAGCACGTTAATATTAATAACAATTCATGTAATAAAAGCATATATGAAAGTGTATTATTATATCTATCTCTCGTTGAAGCTACAACGACCTCTCGCGATAAATCCGCCAAACTGCAGCCTGAGTGGATGAGAGCGCGAGCTGTGCCTCTCGTTTCTTTTTATATTTTTTTATTTGTATTTGTTATGCTTATGTAAAGAACTTTAAATTGCCTTTTTGTCTAAAAATGTGCCTTAAAATCAATTTATATTACTGATATATTTATTTGTTGTAATATATTAAAGTAAAATCGCTATTGTATTTATTTTATTTCTAAATAAAATAAATACAATAATGGAGTTATAAGACGAAACCAGTACCTGTAACCAACATTATTCCATTCTGTTTTCAGTGGCAAGGAGTGGGCTCATTCCTGGCAGCCGAAGAATTCTCCGGGATAATGCATACAAATAAAATCTGTTATTTGAACTCCAGTTTTGTTTTTGCACGTTTATTCTCTTGTTTATATGCTCCATTTGAGTCATATTTAACATGTTTCTATTAGAAATAAGATGCAAACCTCCACCAAAATCCATTTGACTTTTTAGGAAATCACAGTTGAAATACAACATGATTTCATTTTCAGTGATAGGAACACCATAACCTATATTAAGCATATTCATGTGTGAAATCTGCTACTTTTTGCCATCCACTGCCTTATCTAATTTGTATAACTTCCGAAGTATAACGCTTTGGAGGTAGGCTTGCATATCATTTAATTACAGGCCTATCAAGATGATCCTGATCTGGATCACTGTGGTTTTGCTACACAAGCTTTTGGGGACAGATTTAAATGCTTGAGAAGTTACAATGGTAGTGATTACTTTTAATTAAAGTGGACCTATCATGCTATATTTGAATAATATAGTGTAGGACCATACCTATATAAGGCATATTTATACTTTTTTTTCAAAATACCAAACAGATCATGCATTTTAGCCATGCCTCATTTTGCTCAATTTGCACTTTTTTACCCCTGTGTTTGCAAGGGCTGATTCTGTGAGCAACAGCACCGTCTAGAGGCCTGACATATGTACTACAGCGTCTCCAGCGCTTTCGAACGGCAATGGCCGTGGCTGTCTCCTCCTGATTGGTGGAGTTGGCCCAATAGCCGTAGCGCCACTGACGTCAGGAAAGTGTTCAAATCTGGATCAGTTTTTATCAGATCCGTTGCAGCCCCTTTTTTAGAGATGTGGGTATGGAGGAAAATAGAGAGGGTTGTGTTTTCTGACACTTGGTGAGTTCCCTGGAACACCGGGGACACATATTCATGTAGAAAAGACGTACAAAAGTGCATTTTGCATGATAGGTCCCCTTTAAATGTTTCACTTTTGAAAACCACAACTCGAGTATCAGGATGGTCTTTATCTGGAAAGTTATCCACATCTCATCACCACGTTGTCACGGCGACGAGAGAGCGCTACTCTCATATAATTTCAATGGTTATGTTAACTTTCTATTCTTGTGTGTTTTTGCATGTTTTGAGCTGGGGTGCCAACTCATCATACAATGTTCAAAAACAACAGATAAAGCCAGAAATCAGTATATCTGAAATGACTAGGTTAGCTACGTTAGCTAGCTAGTTTACAGCAGATCTGTTATTAATTTGAGTGACGTAATATTGCAAGTAAAATGAAGGGAAAATAGAAATATACATTTGAATTAAAGTACAGTTAAATAAGCTCAGTCTTCTATAAGATATATAAATATTAGGGCTGTCAAGTTAACGGGTTAATAACGCGTTAACGCAAAAAAAAATTAACGCCACTAATTATTTTAACGCGATTAACGCATTTGTATTTTTTGTCCTCGGCCGCCGTAGTTTCAGAGCGCATCGAGTGTAAAATACCATCGACAAGCTGATGCTGACAGCCCCGCTCCTGCCACCCGCTTGTGGCAGACCACACTACCACGCTCACTGGCAGGCCCGGACTGGCCATCGGGAGGACCGGGAGGGAGTGTGTATGTGTGGCGCGAGCGAAGCACACCTTACGTGTTGTTGTTGTTAGCATCTGGTGCTAGCTAGCTGCGCTGACGGATATAAGGAGCTGTTTCAATGACATTTCGCCGACAACTGCGCCGAGCACTTGACTTTATGCAGGTAGCCAGACAGTGGGACATTGTACGAAAAGTCAGCACAGTCAGCACGGATAGTACGCGCAACATGATTGCAGCGTCCAGGCAGCTCCCATTCGAGCATATATGCCTTGACGATCCATCACAGTGTCTACACACACACACACACACACACACACACACACACACACACACACACACACACACACACACACACACACACACACACACACACACACACACACACACACACACACACACACACACACACACACACACACACACACACACACACACACACACACACAGTATTATTGTATGAGAGAGGTTCCAGGTTGAATTGAGGCGAATATTTGTAATGTTCAGGTTGTTGTGTTTAATATTCATGAGAATATTTGTCATTGTTCAAATGATAATAAACAAACATATAAAGCATATTTGTCCACTCATATGTTGATAAGAGTATTAAAAACTTGAAAGATATCCCTCTAAGGTACATTTAGAACAGATAAAAAATGTGCGATTAATTTGCGATTAATCGCGATTAACTATTTTAATCGACTGACAGCCCTAATAAATATACTACTTATAATCTACAAAATATACTAAACCTATAATATACGCACTTACATTTGTATTGAACCATTCTACTTCAACAAAAGAAGCACGACCTTTTGAGAATCAAACTTTATTTATGTAGCACAACATCCACAATGTCATCAGAAAAGAAAAGAAAAAGACAATAAAACCCACAATTAGGTTAAAAAAGTTATAAACGCTGTGAAATTCAACTCACAATATAAACGGTCCATGTGACAAATTCAATAAAAGATACATCTGTGGCTCAGGAGTCGGTAGGACGGTGGTTCGATTCCCAGTGCCTGCAGTCATCAAGCAAGATACTGAACTCCAAATTCCTCCCGATATCAAAGATTGTGTGGATTAGAGTTTCCTCAAGATCCTCAAGAAGAAAGTCAAATTGTATTTAGAAAATTACTTTGCTTTCTAAATCAAAAAACAAGATGTTTTATTATTTGACTTTCAATATGTGTTCCATTCTCAGTAGAGATGAGACTACCATTATTCATATACTGGCTGATTAAGGGCATGATTTTCAATGGATCTTCCCATACGAACTAACTTGTAGTTATTGAGAGAAACTTCACAATCAGTAAGGAAGTGCTGAAGAATTGTAACAGCATCCACATAACAGGACACAACAGAGTCATCGGCATAGAGAATGATATAACAGTCATCTTTAGAAAGATGAAACAGAAAGGGCCCCAGGATAGAGCCCTGTGGAACACCTTTTGCAATTTGCAGGTTAATATGGGTTAATAGGGTCCTTTATTTGGTGTGTTAGAGGTCAGCACATATATCCCCTAAATGTGTTGCAAGCATCAGAAGGAAGACTAACCCTGATCATAACAGAAACATCTAAATAAAGTCTCTTTAGAAAATGATTAACAGCAGAAAGAAAACTATATGGACCCCAAGAAAGTTGCCTGCAGTGTTTCCTTCCAGTGTGAGATCACAGGCATCTAATGGAGAAACCAAAACAAAATATTTAATTAGTCATTCTGAGGGTTTTTAGAGAAAAGATATATGAAAATATTTTGCTTAAAATGCATAAAAAATTACTTACACCAGTTTAGATTGGGAAGTTTTCAGTCCACAGAATGCCTTTCTGGTAGGCGTAGATGGTTGCTCCTTTGAATTCCTTGTTTTCAATGGCTGCTATGAGGAAGCAAGCATCCTGATATTGTTCCATAAAGGTCATGAAATAGTGGGCTTTTCCTCTCATCTCTTGTAAGACGTCGTCTGAGTAGTACCATGGCTCCTCTTCAGTGCATTCTAGTGAGTTTAGGTATTGATCCATCGCTTCAAGGCAGGGGTCAGCACTCTCCAAGGAGGTGAAAACAAAGCACAGAACTTCGTCGTTTCCATAAACCTCTCTGTCCAGTTCAGACTGGTTTGGGACGATCTTAACACCCTTCATGATATCCACACAATACCTGATGACGTTGATTTCTCTCTCTTTGTGATCCAGCCACCTGGTTAGTTTTTCATGGCTGAATGGTGACGTGTGCCTGGCTTTAAAGACTTCTTCCAGTGAGCTCTCATCTTCCTTTCCTTCTCGGATGGAGGGAATTTTCTTGGCCATGGTCTGCTGGAGGCTGGATTCATAATAACCACACAGTTTTTGGAAAGTGCTTAGGTCTTTTCGGATCTTTGGGAAGTGCTCTTCCACTTTGTCTCCCAGAGAATCGTTGCATCTCATTCTTATTTCCTTTAAATCTTCCAGAGCTTCCTGCGCCTTGATAACTAGTCCGATGCTGATCCCTGTCATCAGCTCAGCTGCTTTGGGATCAAAACTCTTCAGCGGCATCAGCCAGACCGTCACTGGGACCGAATTCTCTCCCTTTGTTCCCAGTAGCTGTGGAAGTTCTACATAGGTCTGCACTGCATCTTTAAATGTTGCTGGGTTGCTTTTAAGAATGAAGTCTCCGTAGAATTTGCAGGAGAATG